TGCTTCTAAGGGTTAAATAATGGGCCTAAGAGGCTGGAGCAATAGCACAACAAGTAGGGCATTTGCCTTGCACGTGACTGACCCGGGTTCGATTCCCAGCATCCCAAATGGTCCCCTGAGCACCACCAAGAGTGATTCCTGAGTGTATGAGCCAGGAGTAACCCCTGTGCATCGCTGGGTGTGACCTCCCCCACAAAAAAAAAAGGAAAAAAAATGGGCCCAACTTTCCTTAGCTTCTCTGTGCTTGAAACCAGACCACCCAAGCTGTAGGGCCCAGGACAATTCTTACTCATCTGCTTCTCTTTTCCACCTTGTTCTTCCTGCAGTGCTTCTGGACATCCCATCAAACATTCTGGTTCAAATGAGCAGCCACAAGCCAGATAGACTTTGTGGCTAGACCACAAGCCCGAAAGCTGCCATGTCCCACCCAGGCCCTCAGGCACAGTCTGCACCGGCAGGGTTGGGTTGGACTCGAGTTTGGATGGGTTCCCAGCCAAGGGCTAGCAGGCTGCTTGCTCTGGCGCAGATAGCCTTTCTGTGATATCTCATTTATTCCCTGATTTACTTGTCTTCAGTCTTCTTTTTCTAACTAAAGGACAAAATTGTTTTAATTATTATTGAAGTAGCATGGTTTGCAGTAGTGTTAATGTTTATGTTCTGATGTCCATTGTGCCAAAAACCCTTTATCACTGTCCTTTGTCACTTACAGTGACACCCCTTCTTGGTAACATCAGTTCCATTGTCAGGGTCCAAAGGTTTGCTTTGGACTTTATTATTCTTTTCCTTTGTTTCTTTATATGCCACATATAAATAAACCATCTGGCATTTCACCTTCTCTGACTTACATTGTTTACCATAGCCTATCTGGTTCCATCTGAGTTCTAGCAGAAGCCACAATTTCATCTTCTGTGATAGCCGAGTAGTACTCCATTGTGTGTATCCCCTTATCTGAACAGCATTGTATTGAACAGATATCTGCATATATAGTTTTGAACAGATATCTGCATATATAGTCTTCTTGTGAAAGACGCCAAGAAGTGGATTTAGCAGGTCATACTGTATTACCAATTAGAGGCGGAATGTCTCTCGCTAGGGAAAAGAGGGCTCTGAAAACATTTCTTTTAGCAAGGCAGGTTCATTTCAGTCTGGAGGCTGGAGAACACTGCCCAGTCTGAACTCTTTTCATTTGAAGAAATGATATAAATACAGAGGTGACAAGCCCTATGGTCAGAAATCCAAATCCAAGTCAATTCAACTGGCTTCAGGGATTTCCCTTGGTTACATAAATAGCCTCTCTATAATGCTGAACACAGAAATTTATGAAGAAAACAAAAGCAACCTATTACTCCAGCTGCTCAGAAATTAATACTAATGCAGCTTACTCTTTAAGCCCCTGTTCTTCCTTGAGCACGTATCTCGCATGCCTGTCTTTATGTTTCTTTACTTGCCTGTCTCCACTCTGGAGAAGCCTGTGTTCTCTCTGGAGCATCTAATTATCCCTTACTCTCCCCTCACATCTTTCTAAATAAGTTTCAATAAAATTTTTCTTGCTTTAGGACTGGATAGTACAACAGTAGGGTGCTTGCCTTGCACACAGCTGACCAGGGTTTGATCCCTGACATCCCATATGATCCCCCAAGAGCAGCAGGAGTAATTACTCTTCAAGCCCCTGCTAAACCAGAGGTAATCCCTGAGCATCACCAGGTGTGGCCCCAAAACAAAAAAATAAACAAGCAAAAGACTTTCTTGCTTCACACACGCACACACACCACACAAATAATAAAAATATATCTTCCATCTATTTTTCTCAGTACATCGAAAATAATTTTTAGTGGGCTCATGTTACTCAAGTTGTGTGGCAGCTTGTTTTTTCTTGCCATTTGTCCTGGATCTTCTGTTAGGATTAACCTTAATTTTCATGGTGAATATACATTTATACTAAGCTTGAAGCTTTCATTCCACCAGTCAGGCATTTGGAATTTGCTTCCCTGATGGATAATATCAGACTCTGAGCTGCCCACTGCCCTTCAGGACTGGGACTGGATCAGAAACCCCCACTGTACCCATGACTCAGGACTAGACTGCTCCCAGGTCCCTATGAGAAGGACTTGTCACCTGTCCTGAGGAACTCTAGAGAGTTCTGACTTTTTGTAAAATAAGTGAATGAGAGGTAGATCGGATTTTGAAAAAGAGAACCAGCAGAAGCTGTTGAAATTATTTTAGGAATCAACTTGGGAGTCTCGAATCTGTCAATTGCTGCTTCTCTATCAAAAGCTTTAAATCCTTGGGGACAACTTGAAGGTGGGGCCTTGAGGTTACCGACGTAGGACAGAGACCCCCTCTCCTTCCAATCTTAGACCCCCCCAGTAGCAGCAACCCTGGGTAAGTCACGCAGCATCCTCCCTCTTTCCCCCAGATCTCTATCCTGTATGAAGGAATCCTACTGGCCTGTTCTTGATAAACTGGTTGAAGAGGGAGTAAGATCATTCATATCAGCACATGCTTAGCGCTGACAGATGGTGAAGGAATTGTTGGTTGTGGCTTCAGTAACCGCAGTCAGTACCTTTCACAGCTTTGCCGGGAGCTGAGATGACTTTGATTGTCTGTAAGCTCAGTGTTTTGCCATGTAGGACTGTAGCACTGTAGCACTGTCCTCCCGTTGTTCATCGATTTGCTTGAGTGGGCACCAGTAACGTCTCCATTGTGAGCCTTGATTACTGTTTTTGGCATATCAAATTCACCATGGGGAGCTTGCCAGGCTCTGCTATGTGTGCAGGATACTCCCGGTAGCTTGCTGGGCTCTCCAGGAGGGGCGGAGGAATCGAACCCAGGTCGGCTGCATGCAAGGCAAATGCCCTACCCGCAAAGCTATCGTTCCGGCCCACGTAGGAATGTGTCCAGAGAAACGAGTGGAAGTGGAAGTTCTCCTTTAGTCATGCACAAGTAAAACATTAGGAAGGAAGGTGCTGTGCTTGGAAGGGAATCCAGAATGAAAAAGCACCACAGGGCTTCATCTCCTCTGCCATGTGAATAAAGTCTAAAGGATGATGGGAATATCTCGTGTCACAGATCCCGAATGCCCACATTCTGTTCACTTCCCACTCTGGTCTTGGCATTGGGTGTAGTCACAATTAAATGACCACGTGTTTTCTCCATATTTCCCAGCAATATGCCACAGAAAATCAATGGCATCTGAAATTCAATCAGATTTGTCCGTTCCTTTATTCACTTGGGGGAGGCTTTGGCCCTGGTGTTGTATTTATTTCTTTGACTTCTGATACAGAGACACTGGTGTTATCAAGTGCATCTCTCCTAAATGTTTAACCACAACTCTGTTCTCCAGCCTCAATAAGTTTCCATTTGCAGACAGTACTTAAAATTCATTTTTTATACATTAATGTCATAAAACAACAAAAAGCCGTCTTATATTCATTCTTCTATGGTGGGGACGGTTTGAATTATAAACTTCACATTCTTTTGGAATGCTAAACCTGTCCATCTTCAATGCTACTCTCGTGTCAGTTGTTCATATAACTATGCAATGCCCAGACACTGTATAAGTATAGAGAGGACTCCCATATAAGGAGAGAGATTTTCAGTTCAACTATTTCTGCTTATTAAGTCATTTTGGGGCATGGGGGAATTGGGTCACATGCAGCTGAGCTCAGGGCTTAATCGTGACATTGTACTTGGGAATCACTCCTGCCTGTTCTCAGGGTACCACATGGGGTGCTGGGGGCTGAACCCAAGTCACCTGCATGCAAGGCCAGCATCTGTACTATCTCCCTGGACCTACTCATTAAATCTTTTAATTCAGTTCCATCGTGTTGCTATATCTAAAAATTGCAGTCTGTTAAATAATATCATTGTAATACTTTCTTGCTTGGGCTGGAGCAATAGCACAGTGGTAGGGTCTTTGCCTTACAAGCAGCCAATATGGCTGACCCCAGTTCGATTCCTCCGCCCCTCTCGGAGAGCCCGGCAAGCTACCGAGAGTATCTCACCCGCAGGGCAGAGCCTGTCAAGCTACCTGTGACGTATTCAATATGCCAAACACAGTAACAACAAGTCTCATGATGGAGACGTTGCTGGGTCCGCTCGAGCAAATCGATGAACAACGGGAGGACCATGACCATGACTTTCTTGCCTAGGGTCTTAATGGGATATATTCACTGTCACTATCCTCCTGTTGTTCATCGATTTGCTCGAGCAGGCCCAGTAACGTCTCCATTTTGGACTTCTTGTTACTGTGTTTGGCATATCGAATACGTCACGGGTAGCTTGCCGTGCAGGCAAGATACTCTCGGTAGTTTGCCAGGCTCTCCGAGAGGGGTGGAGGAATCGAACCTGGCTGTGTGCAAGGCACATGCCCTACTGCTGTGCTATTGCTCCAGCCCAGGGGATATATTGATAGTATATTGTTCCTGATATATGGCTACTGTCCCTAGAAAGTGCTCCTCTAATTATGAGAATTTCAAAACTATCCCATCCTCCAAAAAAAAATAGAAAACAAACCATTTTTGTACTTTTCTAGAAATCTCAATATACTACTTTTTCACCAGCCCACTGAGGAGTTTGACCTTCAAAAACTTTCTTTTCTACAGAGACACTCCTCAGAAACTGTCATCACACAAACCTGCCTTTCCACCCTTAAGCTGCCCAGGAAATAGAAAGGAATTCACACAGGCAACTAACCTTGTTGGTCTGAATCCAAATCCTAAGCTTGGATTACAAAACTGATATTACCTAGTAGTGAAGAAAGGGAAGAAAGTGAATGTCTATCAGACCAGCGGTGACCTAGAAAACAGGGTGGAAGGTTGGACAAACTTTGATGGTGCTTTAACTTTGTACATCAGTGCTATGAACACTATTGTAAACATGTTGCATAGGCTATATTGAAATTTTATTTTAAAACTACTATAAAAAGGTAGAAAGTATTTACTCCTGTGGTGCCTTCCAAAGGATCATTTATTCATATGGGGGAATTATCCTTTTTTCAGACAAATACTGAAGATGCTGGACCAAATAGTCAAGAGGATGAAAATGATGGTGGAAAACAAGAAAAAAGAAATTCAGAATTTGCCTCATCAGGTTTGTTTCATACCAGGCTAATTTTTTTTGAATTTTTATTAGTGAAACACCATGAGGTACAGTTGTAGACTTACAAATTTTTGTGCTTAAGATAATCTTGATTACTCTTCAACCTTACCAACAGAGCCCCAGGAAGCGAGTGGGGCTCTATAAATAGTATAGTTGTGCTGCCACCTAGGGGCCATCTGAGGGAATTCTGACCATTACATTTATAAAAATAAATGTTTTAGTGAATGTTTTAACTCCATCATCATAAATAGTATACATACTTTTAAATCTTAAAAAAGTATGATGGTATTTTAAGATTTAGTATTAATTCATTCATTCATCATCCTGTTATTCGTCGATTGCCTCGAGCAGGCCCCTGTAACGTCTCTTTCATCCTAGCCCTGAGATTATATTCAAGGCTCTTTAGGAGAATGAGACCCATCATTGTTACTGGTATTTGGCATATTTGGTACGCCACGGGGAGTTTGCCAGACTCTGCCCTGTGGGCAGGCTACATTCGATAGCCTGCCAGTTTGTCCAAAGTAGGAATGAGATAATAAGATGTCATAAAAAGATGTCCTGATAAGATGTCGCGCGGCCGGAGCCCTGGTCGGGGCAGGGAGGAAAGCTCAACCCGCTCCCCTCCAAGGGACCCCGGCGAGGAACAGCCAGGCGCAGGGGCAGGAGACTGCACTGGTCTCGTCCGGGAGCTGGATTTTATAGTCTCTGAGTCTTGGCCGTTGATGGGATTACACGGCGCCAGGGGACCAGGTGGTGGGTGTGACCCCCGCCTCCTGGAATTTGGAGGATCTGGGTGGAGGATGCTCGACTCCAATCCGAGTAGGCTTGGAGATCTCGGCCCAGGAACCGGATTTAGTATTATAAAGCACAAAATGTATGAGTCCGGAATTATAGTACAGTGAGTAGGGCACTTGCCTTGCACACAGCTGACCTAGGTTCTATCCCCAGCATCCCATCTGGTCCCCAAGCCTGGCAGGTGTAATCCCTGAGCACAGATCCAGGAGTAATCCCTGAGCACCACTAAGTGTGGTTCAAATTCTCTCATCACCAGCCACAAAAAAAAAATCCTCTCACCCTCTTGTATAGCCAAATTATCTCTAAATGGCCTTCAAAAGTTGATGCCATTATTAAAAATTTTTAGCATTTTCCTTTTCAATTGAGGTTATGCCTCCACACTTTGATATGCCTCTCACATGGCTTTTTCCATGAACTCTAAAATGTACATAATTCTTCCTAATATCATAGAACACTTTCTTTCATTGCATTACACATACATACATACATTGGATATAGACACAGACATCCAATCCACCTATGATAATCATCAAATAATTTATGTCATCATCTTTTTCATGTAGTGTCATTTATTTGTAACCTGTGCCTATTAAGTTTTTTAAAATTGTGGGTTCTTTGTGTTGCTTGTTTTTTAAATATAATATCTAGTATTATGAAAGAGCCCAGGGTTCCACTTCATAGATTCTTTTACATGGCACATGGATTCTTCCAGCACAGTCTGCAGAGTGGCCAGGGAAGGACTGTGTGGACTCGGGTTACTTCTTGGGGCCCCATTCCGTGGGCCATTAGGTGAGTTTCTTCTTGGTGATGTGTCTGGACTCTAACTCCATTTCAGAGCCGCAGCATTACACAACCACTGTGACTCGATCCAGCCTGAATGTGACCTTTGTGGAGTTTGCCTCTAGTCCCTCGCAGAAGGATGATGTGCCAGAAGAAAAAGATCTGAAGAAACCAGACAATGAAATGAGTGGAAAGGTGGAGCTGGTGTTTTCACAAAAGGTGAGGTACAGAGTGGATGGACATGATGAACCCCCAGCATTAGTGTCGCTTAGTGTGACTGGTAGCTGCCATGGCCCCAGTTTGTAAAGGCAATCTAGTTCATCTCCTCACCTGGTCTCCTTTCTCCTGATGAGCAATGGAACTACTTCAAGAGAGAGAGTTGTATGGGTCTGCTTGGGCTGTCGGAACAGAAGGGTTCGGGTAATGGCTGGTAAACAACAGAGTTTGTTTCTCACTGTTTTGGAAGCTGAGAGGCCCAAGTTCAAGGTGCTGGCAGATTTTTGTTTCTCTGGTGATAATTGCCATCCTGAGCCCCCAGCATCTTCCTACTGTGGGTTTATGTGGCAGACAGGAGGAGGGTATCCACAGTGTCTTTTATAAGGGCTTGGAACCCAAAAGAATCCCACTCATCAGAGAGCTCTAGCCTCAGGACCTGCTCACGTCCTACCATCACCGTAGGGGTCAGGATTCAACATAGGAATTTTTGGAGGCACAATCATTTAGTATTTATAAGTGTGTGTATTTTATTTTTGATCTGTTTATAGATACGTAGACACAAATGTATAACAAGTCTATCAAGCAATGCATGTAAAATATATGCAGAAATTAGAGAGAGTGTGTGGGAATCAAACCTAGGGCTCTGCATGCCACGTGTCCTCTAACGCCCTGAGCTGTCGCCCTGGCTCCAGATCTAATTTTTTTAAATGCAAAATAGTACACATAAAACTATCAAGTTTTCCTTGGTGTCAGTGTAACAAGCACCTATACCCCCTGACGTCTGTTTTGTGGACTCTAGGTTAAGAATCTTTGCTCGCTGATTTATAAATGGAATAATGTTGGTTCACTGTAATTCTTTTCTCATGTACACCTTGTGAATGTCTCCCGTTTCTCCTTCCCTGCTGTAGAGTTAATTCTTAGAGAAAGGTAGAGAGATGACCATCACAGCTTTTGTTTTCTGTTTTTACCTTGAAGTATCAACCTCTGTAAAGCAAAGTGCTCACACACCCAGTCTGAACTTTTTATATGGTTGTCTTCTTTTGCGTATTTGTGCTGGCTATTTAGTTTTAGTTTTCAACAGGGCATTATCCAAAGCATGACTATTTCTAGCCTGCATTATGGAGAAAATATTTGTGTTTAGATTTAAGGTTGTCACCTTTGGTTATTCTGATTCTTAGCTTGTGCTACCTATTGAACACGAAAAGTTCATTTGGATACCTGGTAGACCTCTGTAATGCAGCATGGGTGATAAACTGCTCTTTCTTGAAATACTGCAAGATTGTCGGATATGTCATTGTTAAAGAAAATTAAAAATCCTATTGAGCAGAAATTCTAGGCATTAATATGGGCTGGAGCGATAGCACAGCGGGTAGGGCGTTCGCCTTACAAGCGGCCAACATGGCCGACCCGAGTTCGATTCCTCCGCCCCTCTCGGAGAGCCCGGCAAGCTACCGAGAGTATTCGATATGCCAAACACAGTAACAAGCATGGTGAAGACCAACTCATAGATCAGTTTTTGATGAAACACATTCTCTAACGCTTCACTTGCCTGTTGGTTATCAATTCCATCTGTTGGAAACATCGCTACAAACCAAAGCAAATCTGAGAAAGTTTAGGAAAGCCTTGCTGGGTACAACCTTGCTCCTCCGTCAGGCCTTTGTTTAGTCTCCTAGTTCTTATTTTAGACATTAGTTAGATAATGTTATCTTTCACCAGTCAGTTGATTACAAGAAAAAAACTAGTAGTAGATGTGTCTATTCGGATTGGTGATAAATAAAGTTAAATTAAATAGCAACAACAAGGAAGACCTATTTTCACAAAGCAAACATACAAATTTTTAAAAACCTGTAATTTTGGAGCTATTTACTATGAGAAACAGAAGTATGATATGCCTCAAAAAACTCATAGGAACATTGTTGAGATAGCACTGTTTTAAGGGTCATTTATAATAACACTTCTCTGTCAACAGGAAAAATATATTGTCCTTCACATATATGTTTACATCCTGTTATTTAGTATCTAAAGAATCCTGTCCATTAGAAGTTGATATTAGTGTAATATTTTAGCACTTACATAGTAAACGTCTTTGAATTTGATATTTAACATCTCTTTCCTGACAATGCAAATCTAGTGTTATGTACTACCAGCAAGAGAATGTGAATGAATCATTAAGAAAGTAAGAAAGAGTATTGTATAGTTTCAAAGTTAGAATAAAATTCTTTTGATTTTGGGGACAGTTGATTATACTAAATATTCATCCTATAGCTTGATTTCTTTGAAAAATGAGCTGCTATATTAATGTAGAAATTATACAGGAAGCATGAAGAAGAGGGAAATTTTGCATTTAATAGATGTTACAGCTGCTTGACTTATCCAATAGCCACAGCTGTTGTTAACTGAAACACTTTCATTTTATTTCACCTATGGGCAGGTAATGAATGAGAAATATATTTGGGCAGGTTATTGATGAACAATATTTGTAATACTTTGTCTATTACTCATGATCCAGGTGGTAAAGCCAAAATCTCCAGAGCCAGAAGCAACCCTGACGTTCCCGTTTCTGGATAAAATACCTGAGACCAACCAGTTACACTTGCCAAATCTTAATTCTCAAGGTAAAAAAAAGGAAGTGTTTGGACCCTCTTCTGCATGTTTTGTCCAGCTCTAATGAAAAGCTGTTACTGGGGCTGGAGCGATAGCACAGCAGGTAGGGCATTTGCCTTGCATGTAGCTGACCCGGGTTCTATTCCCAGCATCCCATATGGTCCCCTGAGCACCGCCAGAAGTAATTTCTGAGTGCAGAGCCAGGAATAACCCCTGTGCATTGCTGGGTGTTACCCAAAAAGCAAAAAAAAAAAAAAAGCAGTTTACTTCAATGAAAGATCACTCCTTTCTGTTTATGACCCGTTAGTCCTGATATTTGCCAAAGTCTACAGCAGCTATATGAGCAGCTGCAGATTAGAAATCTGGGTATGCAGTATTCTCTCTTTGACCAAGGAACCCCAATGGCACGAGCATACAAACTTTCCATGTATCTCTGAGTCAAGAGCACTTGCCATCCGGGTACTCTATGCACAGTAGAGCCCACACAAATGTTTGAGGCCTTAAAAAATCTGTATTCATTCCAAAATGTTAAAAAAAATTATAAAATAAAAAAACAATGACTTTTTAAAAATGCTTATACTCTATATATTCATATATCAGCTTCACTAATGGTTGAGTCATGAAATATTACTTTAATTTGTCAATGGTTTTGGAAAAATCACATTTTTTTATTTCATGACAAATGCTGGATGTGCTAATAACTAAAATATTATTCACTGTCATAGAAAAACTGTTATTCTTAATTTCAGATGTTAATCTTTAAAATCACTAGCTTTACAGAAAGATTATACTTTACATGTAAGCTGAGGGCTTATTTGAATATGTTTCCTGTGTTTGATGCGTTTCAGTATGTTTGATACCATGCAGGTATGGGTGACCTCTAAAATATGGAACTTTAGGGGCCAGAGATATAGTACAGTGGTTAGGGCGCTTGCCTTGTACACTGCCACTGACCCAGGTTCAATTCTCAGCATCCCATAGGGTGCCCCCAAGCACTTCCAGGAGTGCAGAGCCAGGAGTAAACCCTGGCCTTGCTTGGGTGTGGCCCAAAAACCAAAATAAAATAAAATATGGGACTTTGAGGCTTGTGAAGATGTTGTAATGGCACGAGCATACAAACTTTCCATGTATCTCTGAGTTGTGCTTTGACCCTATGGCTCTGTAGGAGCCTAACTTATACCCCTTTCTCCTGGTGGGAAACCTTTCCCACCAGGAAGGATTCTTCAGAATATGAATGGTAAACATAGGTCCCCAAAATTCCAGGACTGCTGGAAACTTTCCTTCTGACAGGACCGGCACTGGGTTTTAGGGTGCAAGTTCTCTTCTCGGGTGTGAAATCAGCCTTGGTTCATTATGCAAGAATTGAAAGGTCTCTGGCCAGAGGGTTAGCACAGTGAGTAAGGAACTTGCCTCACATGTGGCTGATCCCTGGCCGCGCATGGGGGGCTCCCAAGCCCTGGGAACCACTGGTTTTGGCCCCAAAACAAAACAAAGAATTATTAGGTCTCTTGTTTTTCTCCTTCAGTGAACTTTCCCCATATATTTATAGATTTGATTTTTAAGTCCAGGGAGAGAGGGGATGGTGCAGGGACATTGTAGCTAGGAATTTAGCTCTAATTTTCTTTTTAAAGAATGATCAGTTCCTTGGGCCCACTATTATAGCTTTCATCTTTGTTGATATCCAGGAAATTTGTTGGGCTCCAGCTAGACAGCAGGAAGTACTTGGAGAAAATTCTTTGGTTCATACACGGTATCACTGTATCACTGTCATCCCATTGTTCATCAATTTGCTCGAGCAGGTGCCAGTAATGTCTCTATTCATCCCTGTCACGTGCCCGATAGCATATTGGGGGCTCTTTCAGGGTCAGGGGAATGAAGACCATCATTGTTACTGTTTTTGGCATATCAAGTATGCCACGGGTAGCTTGCCAGGCTCTGCCGTGTGGGCGGGATACTCTCAGTAGCTTGCCGGACTTTCTGAGAGGGATGGAGGCTTTTGGGGCAGCCTCTAATCACCTTTACAGGTGTTCCCAGTCAGGCTAATAATAATAATAATAATAATAATAATAATAAACTAATTAGTTCATACACTAGTGAACATTAAATTCTTCTATTTTTTTTTTACTTTTTGGTTAAATTATAGTTTAGGCAACAGGCTTACAGTAGTGTTTAAATTTCTTTTTTTTAAAAAAAAATTTTTAATTTTTGGTTTGGGAGCCATACCCAGCAGTGCTCAGGGCTTACTTCGGGCTCTGCACTCAGGGATCACTCCTGGTGGGCTCAGAGGATCATTTGGGCATCAAACTCAGGTTGGCCACATGCGAGGCAAATCCTCCCCACAGCATCATGGCTCCAGCCCAGTAGTGTGTAAATTTCTGGTGTTGATGTACAGTTACTGAACACCCCACCATAGAAGACCCCAACCTTCCCACGTCCCAGTGTCACATCCAGTCGAATTACTCTTCCCTCCCACCACTTCCCCAATTGTTTGTTGACTGACAGTTATGGGCTTCGTTCATACTTTTGCCTCCCTTAGCACCAGCCAAGTTCTCCAGACCCTCCCCCTCTGTTCTGGTGTTGCTTGTTGCTTGTTGTTTGGTCCTCTTCCCCTTTATTCTAGTATTCAAGATTTATTATTGGTGAGCACTGAATTCTTAAACTGGAAGCAAGTTCAGTACTATCTTCAGAGCATGGCCTTTAGAGTGATTTGTTCTACCATCCCAAAATTAAAGTCTTAAAACTGGGTCAGTCTATATTTAGTTGTCTTTTTAATTTTGCCCTCTTTTCTAACACTCTGTGTAGACAAATAGCATGGAGAGGAAATAGCTATTTCCAGCCTGATTACGAGTTTTTCTTCTACATGTAATAAATGAGCGCATCTCTGTGTACTTCTCTAGTGTTCTAAAGCAAAATAAACTGGTACATTCCATTTTCACAGCTTGTCCTATCACCCTCTCCTTGCAACGGTGTAACTGTATCACCACTGAGTGTGAGCCTATAGGGTTCCACTTCACAGCCAGGAAGACAGTTGCGCACACAGTCCTGTTCCAATTTCTGTCAACTTGGTCCGTGTCCTTCAGGTTTTTGTATGTCTAGTGGTGACATTTGGGACCTCAGGTCCCTTCTCTCTTAATGTCTATGCAGACTGAAGCCAGACCCTCCTGGTTCGACCCTCAACCTGTTCTCATGGTTTTCTGTTTGTTCTGTTCTGCCATCTGCTCTAGAGTCGCCTGGCACTGCCAGTGTTCCTCTTAGAGTTCAGAACTCTTGGCGACGCTCCCAGTTTTTCTCCCAGTCAGGTAAAACACTGGGGCGCTGTGTTTCTGTGGAAAAAAAAATAAAATCCATGTTGGGGGTGACCAATGAAGTCTGGTATTGTTCTTCATTTCTGATTTCAAGCAAAAAACACTTGTTTCTGACACACAGTTAGCAGAGAGCTAGCTCTCTCACCATATCAGGGATACTAAAATGCAGAGAACGATCACAGAATTTAACTTCGATTTTGAAAAATACGAGAAAATACTATTTGCCTCTTTATTGATCTCATCTCTTTAAAAGCAAATAGACCCCCAAAAAAGCTGAGAATTATTTACCAGAGCTAGTACCTGTTCTCTTGCTAACTGTGTCATTTCTCTTTTTTTCCTGGATGGCCTCTGGCCTTTCTCTATATGTTAACTTGTCCATGTCAGATGTTGAGGGCACTGGTCCAAGAATGCAGTGTGCTAGGTGCCTTGAAAACTAGCATTAATGGAATAGTTTTTGCTTCTTAGAATCTAGTACCTGGAGCTAACTGATTGCTTCAATCATGTTATACTGGTTTACAGCTTCTTTTGGTGATGGTGCAAACTGCTTTCTGGACCTACTGATCATTACTCCCTAATGCTCTTAGCCTATGAAACAGTTGATTTGAAGCTTATATAGTCACCTCACCCAAGTGAATGGATCAGAGAGAAGAGGGGGAAGTGGATGTTCATTATGATCTTTTCTCTCTCTCTCTCTTTTCATACAGCGAATTCTCCAAGCGCTGAAAAGTCACCTGCCAGCACACTGGTAAGTAGCACTCGTATAATGGGAGGTGTTCTGATTTGCTTAAGGAGGGTTCAGTTCAAATAATTGATTGTCATTTATTTAAAAGTCATATACAAGGCAGTCAGGCAAACTCTGAAGAAAGACATTGATTATCATTTTCTGGGGCATTGTTCTTGTGCCTGGAAACAAAACTGGAAGTAGGTCAGGAAGGTAAAATTCTAAAAGAAGCGATTCAAAGGAACATGACCACAGGGGTCTAATTAGTAGTAACACAAACAACATCTGTGGGAGTTAAGAAATCTTATTTTTCCTAATTTTTTTTTAAGATGAGGATAATGCTACATCATTTAGCCTCCTGCTGGGCCCAGCCTGGATCCTTTTTTGATTACCCTTCTCTTCTCATAATCAGTTTCTTAAAAAGTATTAACTCTGCATTTTCAACTTTTTTCATTTTTTAAAAAAATTATTTGCTTACTAACCACAGGACCCAAAAGGAGAGAGAGAGAACAAAAGGGAATGCCCTTCCACAGAGGCAGGTGGGATGGGGGGACGGGGCGGGGGGTGGGAGGGATGCTGGGACCCGTGGTGGTGGAGGATAGGTACTGGTGGAGGGATGGGTACTTTATCATTGTATAACTGAAACCCAAGCACAAAAATTTGTATGTCTACAACTGTACCTCATGGTGTTTCACTAATAAAAAAAAAGAAAAAAATTCTTTGCTTACTAAAATGTCAAGACATGGTGATAATGTCTTGCTGCTAAGTGATAGCTCATCATGCCTGTATCTCTCCTCTGAATTGGAGTTCCACTCAGGGCTCACTGGGATTTTTTGTCCTCCATAATTCCCAGTGTTTTGGACATGTCCTTTTTGTCACAGTCAACAGTAGCGTTAACCTACGCTCCTCAGACGTTATCAGAATCACTATTATACGTTTGATTTCAGACTTATTAGTCCTTGAACTTGTTCTATAACTTTCCCTAATTTCATCTTCCTGGCCAGTGAGGTTTTACCATGATTGTATGATGAGATAATAAGACATTTTTCTCAGAGTAAAAGCTTTATAGCCCCTGATATGTAACTGAATTTTCCCCAAAATCTGATCCACTGTAGCCAATATAGTCCTTACCTATGAGTACAATTGTCTCACTTTGAGAACTCCTAAGTACCTATAAAGAATGGAAAAATCACATAATCCTAAATATCTCCAACCACATTCCAGAATGGGAACAATGGGTGGCGTCTGTATGGATTCAATCCTCCCAGATTTCCCGAGTTTCTTGGAAAGTTGAGTAAATCCACAATGGATGGGATCCCATAGACATTTCCTACGACAGGCATGCCTGGCACAAATCTCAACTAACCCACTTATTTCTGTTTCAAACTACCCAGAGAGAACCATGTCAAATTGCTTTTGTGCCCCTTGGGCAGGAGAGGAGTGGAAACAGACTGGAAAGAGATATTCTTATTTCTGGTTCATAGAGGATAGAATAAGAAAGAGACAAATTACTGACCTATATAAATGCCTTCCCTCAAAATGCCACCTAAATTTGATGTTCTTCCTATGACAAATGACCCTTCGTAGAATCAACAAGTGAAAAATTAGAAATAAGAGAAGCCTCAAAAGGAAGAAAGCATTTGATTAAACTGACCTTCGTAGATTCAGGTCAGATGTGGTCCAGAATTATAGGATGTATGATAAGAAAGGAAAGAAATGCATTGCCCAACATTAGTAGTTCCATTCAGAAAGCCAAAGGGACACGTCACTTTTATTTTCCTCCTGTTTCTCATGCTGGTACCTTCCTCTTTCTCTTCTTTAAAAATGCTCATTGTTTTTCATCTCTTGCTTTATAGAAAATATTCTTTATCTTTACCTGGTAAAGGTAAAGATAAACCTACTTCCAAACATACTTCCAAAACTCCTTACTTCTTGACTTACTTTTGCAGTTAATCTGAAAATTCAGTAATTCCTAATGGTTTCCAGGAACACTGGTGATGTAAACCACTTGAAAGGAAGCTGATACGGAAAAACAATCCTAGTCTAAAAGGTTAATTCTGTGGCTCAGCAAATGCCACTTTTTACAAAATGCAGTAACTCTGTTGAAATAATTTCATATAAATCCTGGGTGACATGCAGCGTGAACACCTTACACTCAGAAACTCAAAAGGGTAAACCACTTCTAATAAATCATTTCCAAGAGAAATGAAGATAGTTTCCTGCCATGCCTAATTACACCCTTTTTTCATTAGCTTCAAATAAAAAGGTCACAGAACCCAAAAGGAGAGAGAGAACAAAAGGGAATTCCCTGCCACAGAGGCAGGGTGGAATGGGGCGTGGGGGGTGGGAGGGATACTGGGATCAGTGGTGGTGGAGAATGGGCACTGGTGGAGGGATGGGTACTCGATCATTGTATAACTGAAACCCAAGCACAAAAATTCGTAAGTCTACAAAAATAAATAAATAAAAATAAAAAGGGGGAAATTTTAAAAAAAGTGTTAGTGCTCAAAAAAAAAAGTCACAGATTTAAACCAGCATCTTAAAAATAAGCCAGAGAGAGACTAAAGTTGTGCTATAGATTCTTCACCTTAAAGAGGGCCTTGAGCTGGGTGAAAACTTTTGCTTCTGCATGTTTATCGAGGTGTCCGCTTGTAGGTTTGGGGTATCCCCATCCTGGCCCAGGCTGGATGCCAGAACTCAATCCTGATGTGGTTTTATTTCCTAAGCAGTTTAAGTTCTGGGCCTGGGACCCTGAAGAGGAACGCAGGCGACAAGAAAAATGGCAACAGGAACAGGAGCGTTTGCTTCAGGTAGGACTAACTTATCTGCTTTTCATTGTTGTTGCTGTTGTTTATTTGATCTTGCGTAAGTGCTGCTACATTATAGTACCTGAATGTTGAGCATAGGCAAAGCATGGAATCAAGTCACTGAGTCCAAATTGACTGGTGCTCTTTGTGGTCCATGGTACTGAATGTTTGCTGTCTTAATTCTTCCTGCCAGAGGTGACACTGATGAACACAGAAAGTACTTCCTTACAGAATCAAAAATTGAAAATCCGCCAAAAGGTTGAGCAAGGGCCGTTACACTCATTTACCATTTCCTTTGCTGCTATGTTCCCATCCAAGTAGCAGTGGGAATGAATTGTAAAACGTGATTGAATTGTATAGTTGAGAGCTAAAACTGGGCTAATGGCCTAGGTACTTCAGTAAACATCTTACTCCATCTTTGAGGAAATACTCCACATTTTCAACTCTAGGAAAATACTAAAAGTAAATATATTTCCTATTTCTATGTAAAATATATGCTGTATCTTTTATTTATTTTTATAAGCTTATATACTCCTACTGCTTCATGCCAGTGTTGTGGAGTCACAAGTCTTCAAAATATAACCTAGGAATTTATTTATTTTTATTTTATTTTATTTATTTATTTTTAATGAATCACCGTGAGGTACAGTTACAGACTTACAAACTTTCATGCTTACATTTCAGTCATACAGTGATCGAGTACCCATCCCTCCACCAGTGCCTATTCTCCACCACCAGTGATCCCAGTACCCCTCCCATCCTCCCATTCCCACCCCGCCGCCCCCCTACCCCCCCCCCCACTTCTGTGACAGATGCATTTCCTTTTGCTCTCTCTCTCTCATTTTGGGTGTTGTGGTTTGCAATACATAGCCTAAGAATTTAGATGTCAACTCCTGCTGAGTACTGGGGATGGGCTGGGAGCTGTTGTCCCTGATTGGTGTTGTCCCTGATTTTATTTGATTTAATTCTTATTTAATTCTCTTCAGAGTTTGTGTGATCAACCCCCAATTACTTTTGAATGCTGAAAGAAGTTCAGGTAATTGTTGGAGGTCACACACCTAGCTGGTTCTGGTGTCAAGTCCCAACCAGGATGTCTTTTGGCAAGGCAGAGAGATAGTACAGTGGGAAAGGTGCTTCCTCGTCAAGAGTAGTAATCCCTGAGCACAGAGCCAGAAGTAAGCCCTGACTGAGCATTGCTGGGTATGGCCCAAAACCAAAAAATAAAAATAAATCAAACCTATATTCTTATCATTTCTTTCCCAATTATTGTACTGGTCTCACAAAAAAACTAAGCATGAAAGATAAGAATATTGAGTCTCTCTCCTTTTTTTTTTCAAATCTCTGCTGGTGGGTAGAAAGCAAATGCTTAAAGCCAATTTGTTTCACTTGTTATTTTTGGTTTTTTTTTCTTCTTTTTTTGTTTGGCACAGAATTAAATTCTTTAGGGGAGCAGGGGACATTTCCCACAGTGAATCAATACAGCAATGTTAGAACTGTCGGTTAAGCTTGGCACCTTCAAAACTGTGAGGAGAGAAGTAGTGTGGTGTGGAGAGATAGCTCAGAGTAAAGGGGTTGAGGTACTTGCCTTTGCATATGACCAATGCTGGTTCTACCCCCAGTACCACATATGCTGCCCTGAGCCCCATCAGGAATGATCCTGAGCACAGATCCAGGACCAAGCCCTGAGCATCATCAGGCTTGACCCAAAAACTAAAACCAAAATAAAACCAAAAACCAAACCAAACCAGTGAAACTGCACAGGGGCAAACCTTCAGCACACTCTTGTGTGAGATTGCGTTCTGTCCTGGGAGACCTAGACCAGCCCTGGCCATTGGCTCTTGTCTAGAGAATCAGAGACTTGGCGGGGAGTGGTCTACTCAGCATCTCAGTGGGGACCTCCAAGAGTCAGAAGCTTTAAAAGACAGACAGTGAGCATGCATCTCCCATCCTGGGAGGATCTCTTTTGCAAACCACAGCACCCAAATGGAGAGCGAGAACAAAAGGGAATGCCCTACCACAGAGGCAGGGTGGGATGGGGAGGGGGAGGGGAAGGGGGAGGGATACAGGAATCAGTGGTGGTGGAGAAAGGGCACTGGTGGAGGGATGGGTACTCGATCATTGTATAACTGAAACCCAAGCACAAAAATTTGTAAGTCTACAACTGTACCTCATGGTGTTTCACTAATAAAAATTTTAAAAAAAAGAAGACAGACAGTGAGAGTGCTGACTCGGCTGCCACTATTTGCAGGTGGCCAGAGTGGCAGAGCCTGTTCCTGTCCTACCATAGTCTTAGGCAGCATGACCTGCTGGGATGGAGACTTTCCCAAAATGTTTGTTGGTGAAGGAAGGATCTGTGTGGGTGGGTGTGGTTATGCATGTTGTGTATGTGAATGTGTGTATGTGTATATTTTGTGTGTTGTGCCTGTGCATAATATTGGTATGAGTCTGTGTACATGTATATATGTATCTGTGCATTGTGGGGTATCTCTGTGTAGATGTGTGCATGTCTGAGTGTCTGTGTGACTGTATGTGTGTATGTGTGTTGTATGTTGTGTCTGTGGTTTTCATTTTGTGCATGGCTATGTGTATTGTGTCTGTAATATGTGTGTTAGTGTCTATGTTTATGTGTGTTGTGTCTGATGTGTTGTATGTTTGTATGTATTGACTGTGTACTATATATATTGTATCTGTGGTTTGTGTGTGTCTGTATATATTGTATGTATATATGTGTGTTGTGCTGTGGGATTCTGAATATTTTCTATATGTCTGTGTGTTTTGTATGTAGTGTGTGTATGCATTGTGTGTATATCTGTGTGTTGTGTCTGTAGTTTGTGTGTTTAATGCATTGTATGTATGTGATTTGTGTGTGTCTATATATTGTGTGTCTTTGTATGTTGTTTATATGTGTCTGTGCACTGTGTGTATGTCTATGTGTGTGTCTGTGGTATGTGTGTCTGTATGCATTGTGTGCATGTCTGTGTGTTGTGCCTGTGGTTTGTGTGTGTGCAGACACACACCTTTGACTCCCTGCATCACCCAGCTTCTTGTGAGGAGATTGTAGGCTGGGAGCTCCCAGAACCCATACACCTAAGACACTTGCAATGAACTGCAAGTCTGGGGGTCTGCTTCCTCTGTCCTGGAGAGCCCCTAAAGTCCCTTTATAAAACTTGGCCCAATCAGAATGTGACGGCCAGCGTTTACCTGCAGTTAAGACCTGCCAGGAGTTGACTACCCCTGGCTGTACTCAAGCTTTAATGAGAACAGGCATTAGCCCTGCTCCGGAAGCCCTTGTCCTGAATGCCAGCCTACCACGGCACCCCTGAAGGAGCCTGGGCACCTTCCCAGGAGACTCATTTTTACCTCCCTGCAAAGACTGGCGGTCATCGGCCTTAGGTATTGGATAGTGTCAGGTGCTACTCAGTGAGTCTCCAGCTGTCACACTGGAAGCTATTCCCAAGGCAGCGACAAGTGTCACTTTTCTTATGAAACATTCATTTTCCTGTCCATTTATTTACTTCTACATAGCCACGGGCTGATGTCACAGTTTTGAAGCCATCCTTAGAGAAATTTATTCCCCCCCCACCCCACCCAGAAGTGATGACTAGTGTTACATTGTTTCTGAAAACAAGAATGACAGTTCTTATATTGAAGCTTTCTTTCTAATGGGCTGTTTAAAAGCCCCTTTTAATTCAGAAGTTACTTAGAGCAAGGAAGATTCCATTTGGGTGGAATGACTACAAGCAAAGAGTGAAAGAGTGATTGAACTATGCACGAGTTATCATCTGATTCACTTCAGACTTATCTGTATTGTTTACCAGTTTTCTCTCTGTGTCTCTCTGTCTCTATCTCTCTTTAATCTACTAAACTCTTCCAGAAGTAACAGTTTTCTGTTAGCAAAACAGCAAAACTCATCTCAGATGCACAAAATAGCAAATGATTGATTTATCCCAGTGGTTTTCAACCCCTGGTCCACAGACCAGTTTTGGTGCCCAGAAAGTTATTGTCACTTAACACATGGTACTTCTGGATCAAGCAGCAATATCATAATAAGTATTTATACATTAATATATTCATGATAAATCATGGTTTTTAGTTTCTGCCTTAGCAGCATGTGAACTGTACCTCCTAATTCCATTGGTTCACATATATTAAAAAGTTGATAACCCCTAGTTTTATCAATCTCCTAATATAAAACCTAAGCCAAAGAAGATCTTAGAAAGTTTTGGGGGATGGAGCAATATTCCAATAGGGAGGGCATTTGTCTTTCACACACCTTACCTGGGTTCGATCCCCGGCATCCCATATGGTTCCCCAAGCACCTCCAAGAGTAAATTCTGAATATAGAGCCAGGAGTAACCCCTGAGTATCACCAGGTGTGACCCAAAGAGAAAAAAAAACTCTTGATCTTTTGTTTTTTTCTCTTTTCATAATCAAATATCTGTCTACTCAGACTTCTGAAGAATAACTACAAAAGATCAGCAACAGAAGAAATATTGCTCTCGGTTGGATGAGCATATTCGAGTACCACCAAATAATATTCCCCTTTGGTTGCATGAATTGATTCCATTAGAAAGTTACATAAAGATAATCTTGCAATGCCTCATACTCTGTGATTTTAAGGGAGAGGTGTCTCAATAACCTATGCCATGGGCAGTTCCAAATACTCTGGAAATTTCTGAAACAGGAGAGATACCAGAAGGAGCAGGACAAGCTTAAAGAAGAGTGGGAAAAGGCCCAGAAGGAAGTGGAAGAGGAAGAACGCAGATACTATGAGGAGGTAGGAAATTCCCAAGCAGGGTTTGGGCCTTGTACTTCTAGCTTCTCATTCTCTCAACACCTTTTGAGTCCAAGGTATATGTCTGCATGTGCCTGTATCAGACTCTTGATTTGCAGAAAACTCATTCACCTATTGTTTTTTAATTGAATCGCAGTGAGATGCACAGTTACAAAGTTTTTCATGATTGGGTTTCAGTCATATAATGTTCAAACACCCATCCTTTCGCCAATGCACATTCCCACCACCAATGTCCTCAGTTTCCTTCCTGCCATCCCCATCGTCTGCCTCAATGGCAGGCATTTTTTCTCTGTCTCTCTCTCTCTCTCTCCTCTCTCTCTCCTCCTTCTCCCCTTCTCTCCACCTTTCTCTCCCTCTCTCCCTCCCTCTCCCATTGACCTCTTAATGAGTCCCATCTTTGAGACTAGGCAACGTGCCTGTGCCATAAAGCACACTTCTTACACATGAGGCCCTGGATTTGATGCCTTGTCACCCACAAAAGTATTCGTAAAATGAAAAATCATATTCTAGAGGTTTTAAAAGGCCACAATTTTCTCAATTTTTGTTTTTGTTTTTGGATGTGCTAATACATCCTGAACAGCCATAGTATCCATTCTCTACTCCTCTCTACTCAGAACTTTATTTATCTTAAAGAGGAATTTGATTTTATTTACTTATATGTGTCGTGTGTGTATGTGTGTGTGTTTGTGAGAGAGGCAGAGAAGCATAATTAGTACCAGTTACTTGGTGTTACGAAATCATTTTTTTAAGATTTTATTATTGAATCACTGTGAGGTAGATCTTTACAAAGCTGTTCATAATTTGGTTTTAGTCATACAGTGTTCCAATACCCATCCCTCCACCAGTGTACATTTCCTAGCCTCCAGTGACCCCAGTTTCCCTCCCATCACCACCCCGCATTCTGCCTCAAAGGCAGGCATTTTTCTTCTCTCTTTCACTTCCCCCCCTCTTCCCCCCCCCCCCTTTTGGGCATTGTGGTTTGCAGTACAGATACTAAAAGGTTTTTCAGTATATCCCTTTGCCTTTAACACTAAGTGCTTGTCCAGCATGATCATTTTCAGTTATTATTGTCATCCTGGTCCCTTTATCTTACCTACCCTCTGCCCCACACATAATTGGGGTTGATTCCAACCATTGACCAGTCCTCCTCCTAGACCCTGTTTTTTCTGGCCATGGATATGTCTTCTACTTTATTTATATATAATACATATGTATATAAAACACAAATGAATGCAGACATTCTATCCCTTTTTTCTGACTCATTTAACTCAGCATGATATTCTCCAAGTTCTTCTATTAATAGGCAAATTTCATGGCTTCATTTTTCCTAACAGCTGTGTAGTATTCCATTGTGTAGATGCACCAAGTTTCTTTATCCATTTGTCTGTTCTCAGGTACTCAGGCTGGTTCTAGATTCTAGCTATTGTGAGTAGTGCTGCAATGAACATAGGGGTGCAGATGGTGTTTCTACTGTGTGTTTTTGGACCTCCAGGATATTGCTGGGGGTATTGCTGGGTCAAATGGGAGCTCAATTTTTAATTTTTTGAGGAATATCCATATTGTTTCCCCAAAAAGGTTGGACCAGTTGGCATTTCCACCAACAACAAAAGAGAGTACCTTTCTCCCCACATCCGTGCCAGAATTGGTTGTTCTTATTCTTTTGGATGTGGGCCAGTCTCTGTGGTATGAGATGATATCTCATTGTCATTTCGATTTTCATCTCCCTGATGATTAGTGTTGAAGAGCAATTTTTTCATGTGCTTTTTGGTCATTTAAATCTCTTCTTTGAGAAATTTTCTGTTCATTTCTTCTCCCCATTTTCTGATGGGATTGGATGTTTTTTCTCTTGCAAAGTTCAACCTGTATATCTTTGATATTATCCCCTTATCAAAAGAGTTCTGGATGAAGAACCTTTCCCTTTCCAAAGGCTGTCTTTGTGTCTTGGTTATTGTTTCTTTTGAAGTGCAGAAGCTTCTTAATTTAATGTATCCCATTTGTTTATCTTTGCTTCCTTTTGCCTGGTCAGTGGCATTTCATTTTTAAAGATACCTTTAGCTTCAATATCGTGGAGTATTTTCCCTATCTTTTCTTCCATGTATCATTCAGGTCTGATGCTGAGGTCTTAAATTCATTTTGATTTAATTTTTGTGCATGGCATTAGATAGAGGTCTAATACACGTTTATTGCATGAAGCTTTTCAATTTTTCCAGCACCACCTGTTAAGGAGGCTTTCTTTGCTTTACTTCATATTTCTTGCTCCCTTATCAAAGATTAAATGATCATATATTTGAAGGTGTGTGTCAGGATATTCAGCCCTATTCCATTGGTCTGCAGACCTGCTTTTATTCCAATATCATGCTGTCTTAATTACCGCTGCTTTGGAGTACAGTTTGAAGTTGGGAAAGGTGATGCCTCCCATCTTCTTTTTTTCCCCAGGATTGCTTTAGATGTTCGTAGGGTTTTATTGTTCCATATGAATTTTTGTGTATTTCTTTGAAAAAATGTCATGAGTATCCTTATAGGGACCGCAGTGAACCTGTGTAATGCTTTGGTGAATATTGCCATTTTGACAATGTTAAGTCTCCCAATCCATGAGCATGGAATGTATCTCTTTCCTTATGTCTTCTTTTGTTTCATGAAGGCGCATTTTGTAGTTTTCTTTGTACAGGTCCTTTACCTTCTTCATTAAGCTGATTCCACAGTACTTGGTTTTCTGAGGCACGATTATGAATGGGATTATTTTTTTAAATAATGCTTTCTTCTCTTTCATTATTTGTATATAGGAAAGCCATGGACTTTTGTGTATTGATTTTGTACCTGACACTCTACTATACAGTCTATTGTTTCTAAGAGTTCCTCGCTAGAGGCTTTAGAATTCTCTTAGTATCATGTCATCTAAAAATAATAAGATCTTGATTTCTTCCTTTCCTATCTGGATGCTCTTAATGATTTTTTTCTTCCCTAACTTCTATGGTAAGAACTTTCAGTACTATATTGAATAGAAGTGGTAAGAGTGGGCAACCTTGTCTTGTCCCTGATCTTAGAGGGAAAGCTTTTAGATTTTCCCCATTGAGAATAATGCTTGCCATGGGCTTGTGGTAGATGGATTTGACTATATTGAGGAAAGTTCCTTCGATGCCCATCTTGTTGAGAGTTTTCATTATAAACGGCTGCTGGATCTTGTCAAATGCTTTCTCTGCATCTATGATATGATCATGTGGGTTTTTTTCTTTTATTGATATAATGAATTATGTTGATTGACTTGAAAATGTTAAACGATCCTTGCATCCCAGTGGAGGAATCTCATTTTGTCATGTTGTATAATTCTTTTGATGAGAGGTTGGATTCTATTTGCTAATATTTTGTTGAAAATCTTTGCATTCATGTTCATCAGGGATATGCATCCTGTAATTTTCTTTTTTGAGTGTTTCTTTGTCTGCTTTTGGTATCAAGATGATATGTTCCTCATAGAAACTATTTGGGAGTGTTTCTGTTTTTTCAATTTCCTGGGAAAGCTTGAAAATGACTGGCAATAGATCCTCTTTGAAGGTTTGGAAGAATTCACTAGTGAATCCACCTGGGGTTTTGTTTCTTGGAAGACTTCTGATTACTGTTTGAATTCCCTTAATAGTGATAGATCTGTTTGGGTATTCGAATCTTCTTGGTTCATCCTAGGTTGTAGGAATCTAGGAATTCATCCATTTTGTCTAGGTTCTCTTGTTTCGTGGAATACAGCTTCTCAAAGTAATCTCTGATGATCTTTTGAATTTCTGTGGCTTCTGTTTTGATGTCTCCCTTTTCATTTCTGATTCGGTTTATTAGGAATCTCTTACTTTCTGAGTCTTGCTAGTGGTTTATTGGTGTTGTTTATTTTTTCAAAGAATCAGCTCTTGGTTTCATTGATCTTTTGAATTGTTTCTTGGGATTCTAGCTCGCTGATTTCTGCTCTAAGTTTTATTATTTCTTTCCTCCTGCCTGGTCTGGCCTCCTTTGTTTTATCATTTTCTAAGATCTTAAGCTGTGAAGCCAAGCTATTTATGTGGGCTCTTTCTTCCTTCCTGATAAATCTTTGCAGAGCTGTAAACTTTTCTCTTAGCACTGCTTTAGCTGTGTCAAATAAGTTCTGATAGCTCTTGTCCTCATTCTCATTTATTTCCAGGAATCTTTGGATTTCTTCTTTGATCTCCTCTCTAACTCACTGGGGTTTTTTAGCAGTTAGCTGTTTAATTTCCACCTGTTTGATTTGATTCTCCATTTCTGTCTGTGGTTAACTTCTATTTTCAGCACATTTTCAGCACATTTTCAGTACATCATGGCCTGAAAAGATAGTTGAAACAATGTCTATTTTATTGATTTTACTGAGGTATATTTTGTGCCCCAGCATGTGGTCTGTGTTGGAAAATGTGCCATGTACACTGAATGCATCCAGCTTTTGGGGGATGGAAAGTCCTATATATCCACAAGACCTCTCTTTCATTTCTTCCTTAAGGACAATTCTTCCTTGCTAAGTTTTAGTATCATTCATCTATCAAGAAGCTATAAGGTGGTGTTGAAGTCTCCAACTACTATTGTGTTGCTTCCAGTGTCCTCCTTGAAATCTATTAGCAGTTCTTTTAAGAATTTTTCCTCATTGGGTACGTGTATATTTAGTACTATGATTTCTTCCTGATGTACATATTCCTTGATTATTAATAAATGCCCTTCTTTGTAATATTTTTCAGCCTGAAATCTTTTTCAGCCTGAAATCTATGTTGTCGGATACTAGTATGGCAACCCCGGCTTTTTTGAAGGAGTTGTTTGTCTGAAGAATTGCTTTCCATCCTTTGACTTTGAGTCTGTGTTTGCTCCGACTGTTCATATGTGTTTCTTGTAGGCATTGGAATGTTGGGTTCAGTTTTGTAATCAATTTCGCCATTGTGTGTTTCTTAATTGGTGATTTAGACCATTGACATTGAGAGAGATTATTGTCATGGGGTTGTGTGCCATCTTTCTGTAGAAGTTTGTTGTGCTTGTGGAGTTTGTCTTGTCTTAGAGTAGCCCCTTCAGTTCTTCTTTTAAGATTGGTTTTGAGTCTATAAAGTTCCTGAGCTGTTGTTTATCCATGAAATGTATCATTTCTTTGAGTCTGAATGAGAGTCTTACCAGATAAATTATTCTTGTTGAGGCATTCATTTCATTGCTTTTTTTCACTACATCCCACCATTGTCTTTGGTCCTGATGGTTTCATCTGATAAGTCTTCTGTAAATCTAAGGTATTCTCCTTTGTATGTGATTTGCTTCTTTGACTTTGCTGCTTGCAGTATTGTGTTTCTATCTATGGTATTCATTGTTCTGATTGTGATATGTCTTGGAGTCTTTTTATTAGAATCTCTTTTGACTGGTATTTTTCAGACTTTTTTTGGATCTGGATGCCTGCATTCTCCAGTTCTGGGAACTTCTCCGCAATGATGTCTTTAACTGTTACTACCTCACTGGGTTTGCCTGCCTATCCTTCTTTCACTCCGATGATTCTTACGTTGTTCCTCTTGCATTCATCGCATACATCTCTTACTCACCCCTATGCTATTTTGAGGTTTTTTTCATCTTAAGTCTCACATGGAGCCGTTACTGGTGCCCTCTCAAGCAAATCGATGAACAACAGGAGGACAGTGCTACAGTGCTACAGTTGTTGCCTGTGTGCTTTTTACAGCTCTTCTTCAACCTCACTTATTCTATCTTCAGCTGTTGTCATTCTACTGTTGAGGGCACCCACTGAGTTTTTAATTTCATTTACTGAAATTTCTATTAGTTATACTTTTGTTTTAGCTTTCTTATTTTTGCTCTCATTTCTTCCTGTATTTTATTGGCTGACCACTCCACTGTTTTTTTTTTTGTATATCCTCCTGTATTTTATTGGCTGTTCAATTCCATAGTTTCTTTGACCTCATTAAACATCTTCACTATTTCATCTTTAAATTCTTTATCAGAGAGATTGTATTTGTAGGTATTCCCTGTCGAGGCTTCAGGGCTCTTTTCTTTGTCCAAACATTGTGATGGGGATCTGCACTGTTTCCCATAATGATGTGGTAATATGGAAGTGGATCCCTCCAGTTCACTATCAGTGTTCCCCTTTCACTGCTAGGAAGGACTCTGGACGAGCCCAGTCAATAGTGATCACCCCTTTCCCCTTCAAGGATTTTACTCTCCTCTTTGGTGCTCCTGTGTGACTTATGTAGGGCCTCTAGTGCTGATTTGGGTGATGTGTTCTTTTAGATTGGGTTTGTACAGATTATTGAGTTCATCATTATTTTGGTGAATTTTGAGGGTATTTTGCTTGGAGTAGGCTAGTGAACTATTGACCTAATTGGTTGGGGTAACCAGGCTGCACTCCTAAGACTTCAGCATAGGAGACTAAGATATGGGTCCAATGCACTATGAAAGGAGAACTTAACTGAGGGGCCGTCCCAGAGACACCCCACCAGCCACCAGCATACTTGTGGGGAGAGGGACCCCGCATTTTACAAATTTTGAGGTACAGTTCTGAGACCCACTTCTGACAGTCTTCTAGAACCACTGGTGTCTCCTTTCACCTAGGCACCCATTTGGACACCGGTGGCTAAACATGGGATAATTTTGATATTTAGGCTAAAGAATTCTCTTACCACTGCATTGCCTGAATGATACTAAAGAGATTTGAAGAAGATTATTGTTTCATTATGTTAGATTAATGAGCGAGGCCATATTAGACAATATGAAGGAAGCTATGTTTTATGTATAGTACCTAAAACTTGTTTATGCATGATGCTACTGTGAATATTATCTCCAACGATAGTTTTTGTGCAGAACCAAATCTCTAATAGCATTTCTAATTAAGCTCCTAGAATCACACTAATTAATTTGCAAAGACTTTGTTTATTTTTTCTAAATTAAATGCTAATTTCTAAATTGTTGCCCACAGAGTGTATCTGATTAACAACTTTAAAAAAAAATCTTTTAAAAAGCCTTGCTTGTTTGCATATGTTCTGATGTTTTTTCAAAAGTTCCTTAATGAAATTTTTCTCTTGAACAAATATGATTTTTCTTGCCCCCCCCCCTTCCTTTCCACTTTCATTAATTCCTGACCTTCCCTCAGGAGCGGAAAATAATTGAAGACACTGTAGTTCCCTTTACTCTTTCTTCAAGTTCTGCAGACCAGCTCTCGACAGCCTCCTCCATCACAGAAGGCAGCACCACAGCGGTAAGACTACTTTCATAATGCAGTTTGCAAAATATTATGTCCTATCCTGTCCTGTCCTCCCTTTGTTTATCAGTTTGCTCAAGCGGGCCCAGTAATGTCTCCGTTGTGAGACTTGTTGTTACTGTGTTTGGCATATTGAATACAACACAGGTAGTTTCCCAGGCTTTGCAGTGCAGGTGAGATACTCTTGGTAGCTTACTGGGCTTTCCGAGAGGGGCAGAGGAAGCCTGGTCAGCCACGTGCAAGGCAAATACCCTACCCGCTGTGCTATTGAAAAGTATATCAACACAAATAAAAGTGGAAAAACCACGCATTTGAGAGTATCATGCTAAGTGAAATGAGTCAGAAAGAGAGGGACAGACATAGAAGGACTGCCCTCATTTGTGGAATATAAAGTAACAGAATGGAAAACTAACACCCAAGGATAATAGAGATAAGGACCAGGAGGATTGCTCCATGGCTTGGAAGCAGGCCTCACATACTGTGGGAAAAGGCAGCTCAGAGAGAGAAGAAACCACCAAGTAAAGGATGTGTGAAGGGCCCGCTCAGAATGGGAGATGCATGCTGAAAGTGGACTGTAGACTGAACATGATGGCCACTTAATACCTGCATTGCAAACCACGATACTCTAAAGGAGAGAGAAAATAAAAGGGAATGTGTCTGCCACAGAGGCAGAGAGGAGGAAGGAGGGATGGGAGGAGGGATACTGGGAACATTGGTGGTGGAGAATGGGCACTGGTGGAGGGATGGGTACTCGACCATTGTATGACTGAAATGTGAGTACAAAAGTTTGTAAGTCCATAACTGTACCTCATGGTGATTCACAAATCACAAATCACAAATCATCCTGTTATTCGTCGATTGCCTCGAGCAGGCCTCAGTAACGTCTCCTTCATCCTAGCCCTCAGATTATATTCAAGGCTCTTTAGGAGAATGAGACCCATCATTGTTACTGGTATTTGGCATATTGGCTACGCCACAGGGAGTTTGCCAGACTCTGCCATGTGAGCAGGCTACATTCAGTAGCCTGCCAATTTGTCCAAAGTAGGAATGAGATAATAAGATGTCATAATAAGATGGTGATTCATTAAATAAAATAAAATAATGATAAAAATTAAAAACATGCATTCCCCTTAAGATTAAATTCAGGCTGATTTCCCCACCCCCACCGCCGATAACCATGCCAACCCCTTTGTGGTCATCACTATGCCTCATAGCACTGTTCTTGCCATGGCGAAGACTTACCATAATTTTCTGGGATCAGTTCAGTCACTACTCCATATGTGCCTGTCTGTACACAAAATTATTAATAAAATGAAGCTGGCAACCAATGCCTACCAGCTGGCAAGGTCCCTATTAGTGATACATTGTGCTGGAATGACCTTCTTACTCCCCTGCATTCATTCAGTCATTTGACAGACATTTGCTCATTTCTGCCATACTAAACATTCCTTTGCACTGTCTAACGCTGCAGGCTGCCAGCAGCAAACCCTCCATCAGCCTCCATGAAAGTGTTTGTCAACCCAGTCTTAAAATACACGTGGAGGGGGGTGGTAGGGGGTGGGAGGGATGCTGGGACCCGTGGTGATGGAGGATGGGCACTGGTGGAGGGATGGGTACTTGATCATTGTATAACTGAAACCCAAGCACGAAAATTTATAAGTCTATAACTGTACCTCATGGTGTTTCACTAATAAAAAAATAAATAAAAATTTTTTAAAATGCACGTGGAACTTGCATCTGTTTTAGAGAGCTAGCTGGAATTGAATTCAGAAAGTCAGGTTTATTTCCATATCTCCCAGAAAGGCATAGAGGTAGGATACATAAATTAATCCAGCCCTTGCCAGTTCATGATCTGCATTTTAAAAAAAAGAAAATATATGAATACTTGAAAGCCATTTGCCCTGAAGTAAGCCAATGTATGAGTGTTATTTTGAATGTTATTAAAATAATGAGCCAATGTTATTTTGAAAGATAAAATTTTTAACAAGTTCCTTTTATGGTAACTTTTGAGAGAACTATAGGTACAAGTCTACTTAAAAATCACTGGGCATCAATTGCTGTTTAATCAAATTGGTTGACTGATCTTTAAATTATTGGCAGTGTTGGAAAATGATTGAAAATCAATTGAAAAGTTACTGAAAGCAATTGATCGGAAAATACTTTGGCTATCACAGGACCAGAGGCAGATGTTAAGCCCAGGTATTTAAAAATTCTACTCAAGGTTATCCTTCTTTTCTGCAATAGAATAAGTTGGACTACTTGGAATGCCATCGAGAAGAAGAACAGGAGAGAAGACAGAAGAAACTGTTCCAGAGGGAGCACAATGATTTATTGCCTAAGACTAGGGAGTGTGATTCTTCTTCGGAGGGAAAGAGCAGGTAAAGCACTACCCATTCACTCCAGAGAAGGGAACTTACTGCTAAGGCAAAGCATTTGTAGTTTTGAAATGATTATTCCAGTAATACATTACAACCCTGATGTATTATGAACACACTCTTTGAACACATTTAGTAACACTGAAGTTAGTGTCTTTTTTGCTCTTGAATATAAATAGCCTTATTTTTAAATAAGTGAAACTGTGTAGCAATAAAGGGAGACCGTATACATCACAAAAGTAGCATACTGTCAGCTCAGAGCCCCAAACCTCGGTGTCACCTGCTAGAAAATGTTAAATTGCCTGGTGGGAAAGACATTGACATGAGTGATGGGTTTTCTCCCTTGGTGGTTTTACCTAAGTCTCGTCTGAGCTGGGAGAAGCGAGGTTTACTCTGGGTGATAATATAAAAGGAAATCAACAGATCAAGTTTGTTGTAAGAAGGTAAGCATCACCTCAACCCATGGGTGTCCCATGACATATTAGAATAGGACACCCCGAAACCACTGGAACATTCAGAGCCAGTTCAGGCAGAAGATGATTCTGGTTATATCATTGGTCTGTAGTGGATTTATTGCTACCATCTGCTACCTTCCCCAGAAAGGACCCCCAGAAACATAGAGGGCTGGCAGTGGTCTGCCACAGCAAGTGTTTTATGACAGAATTTCCAAAAGGGACACTGAGATACAACAGGTAGATTGATATTGGCTAGTTTACACACACACACACACACACACACACACACACACACACAACAGCCACAGAACTATCTAGTATCATTTTCTTTCTTATTTTTTCAATTATTTTTATTTTTAGGGCTTACTCCTGACTCTGCACTCAGGTATTACTCCTGGCAGTGCTCAGGGGACTATATGGGATGCCAGGTTAAACCCGGGTAGGCTGCATGCAAGGCAAATGCCCTCCCTGCTGTACTATTGCTCCGGCTTCTCTATATCATTTTCAGGGATTGGCTGAGAGCTAAGCATTTCTGATGGGATTTTTCTCCCCAAATTCTTTGCTCATCATCTAGATTACTTGTGTGAATTATAAGATATTGGGGCTTAGACCCATGTCCAGAATCTGCAGAGCCCTTGGAGTTGCATGTTTTGTTTAATACAGTTTAATACGGTTTAAAATGATTCCCTGGTATTAATTAAATGAAAGCTATATTTAGGTATATTTGAATGATGATTTGTATTTTGTACTGATTGTCACCAGTTCTCCAGATAGGAGAACTGGTGTTGACAGAAGTTTTCCTTTTATCTTATCGATATCTCCTTTACTTCCACACAAAAGCTATGAAAAAAAACAAAGATTACCAAGAGCTGCAAAGGTGTTTGGTGGTCCCTATGGTTTCAACATTAATTCCTCTCGGGAGAACTGGGAGGTCCCAGTGCGCTCTGGCAGCCATTGGGATTATTGTTAGCAGGAAGGTAAACAGGAAGATGGGGAGGATACCAGAAGGGATGATTTCTCAAGTGTGTCCAATTGTTGGACAATGGAAATATACACAATTTCACAGCACCAGAAATCCACTTTCATATTAAAAGAATAAACAGGGCCAGAAAGAAAATGCAGGACATCAAGCACTTGCCTTGCAGAGAGCCAACTCAGTTTGATTCTCAGGCACCCTCGGCACTACCAGGAGTGATCCTTGAGCATGGATCCAGGAGTAGGCATTCCTGGGGGTACCCCCAAACCAAATTAAGGAAGCTGAGTTCAGTTACAGTTAATAAATAAGTTGTGTCTGTTTTAAAATACATTTATATTTAACAGCCAAACTCAAGGGGTTCTAGAAGTTTCTGAGACCCCTCTACCACAAGGACTCCAAGAGGACCATCTGCCGGATGCAGAGAGGAACCCCCACCTGGCTCAAGGTAAAAACAGAGAACAGCAACAAACTTGGACATTTAAGTTACTGTAAGAGCCTCACCTGCTCGTGCTATCTCTTGAACATACACCTCACTTGCTTGTCTCTCTTTTGGCCTTGCTTTTTCCACTCTAGAGAAGTCCATGTTCTCAATTTTTTTTTCTTTTTGGGTCACACCTGGCAATTTGCAGGGGTTCCTCCTGGCTCTGCACTCAGGAATTACTCCTGGCAGTGCTCAAGGGACTATATAGGATGCTGAAAATCGAACCCGGGCAAACACCCTACCCGCTGGGCTATCACTCCAGCCCTTCATATTCTCTCTTTTTTTTTCTTTTTGGGTCACACCTGGCGTTGCACAGGGGTTCCTCCTGGCTCTGCTCTCAGGAATTACTCCTGGTGGTGCTCAGGGGACCATATGGGATGCTGGGAATTGAACCCTGGTCGGCTGCGTGCAAGGCAAACACGCTACCCACTGTGCTATCACTCCAGCCCCCCATGTTCTCTTTTGAATATGTACTTATCCTCTTTCTCTCCTTTTGCATCTTTCTTTTTTGTTTGTTTGTTTTTTGCTTTGAGGGACCACCCCTTGCTATATTGAGGGCTTATTCCTGGCTCCTTACTCAGGGATCAGTCCTGGCATTACTCAGGAGACCATCCAGGGTGCTGTGGATCATCCTGGGTCGGCCCTGTGCAAGGTGAACAACCCTACCCACTGTTTCATCTCTCCAGCCCCTCCCCTCACATATTCCTAAGTTTCAAAAAAACTATCTTGCTTCTGATGCAGATGAGGCAGAAGCTGTGGTGGCAGTTCTCTATTCCTTTGTGATTCCCAGGTTCAAGAATGAAAATATTGAATAATAAAGATGCTCAGATTCAGAGTTAGAAAGCAGAAAAGTCTATCTCACGGTGATTCAAAGAAGAAGACGAAGGAGGAGGAGGAGGAGGAGGAGGAGGAGGAGGAGGAGGAGGAGGAGGAGGAGGAGGAGGAAGAGGAAGAGGAATCTAAAATAGAACATAAAAAAAAGAAAAAAGAAAGTAGAAAAGTTTATTGGAAAGCAGAAGAGCAAAGAAAAGTAGCTCCCCAAGTGGCTGGAGCTACTTACGTGGCCACAAGCCTGAGCTCTGCCACTAACTGAGACACACAGTCAGGACAAATATTTCAAAATTTTATTCACACACTAAAACATCCTCATACAAGAGACTCGGTGCTGAGGGCACTGATAGAAGAGGATCAGCACTGAGGGTTCACAAGCTGGTACTGCTCCCTGGACTTGGAACCCCGATTGTCCTCAGGGAGAGGTTGTTAAGCCCTATGCCCTCCTACCTACATGCCTAGGTGCCCCCTGTCAGGTGCGTTCTCACAACCTTGAGCAAGCAAGCGGAGGTACAGAAATGAAACAGAGCCAATAACACATCTTGTTACATTTACTTGAATCATCCTTGTTATTTGTGGTCAGACAGATGTCTGGGCATTCATGTCCATGCCCTGAGGATCTGACATGTTTTTCTTATTAGGTTGTAAATTCATGACCCTGAGGCACAAAATGGAGTCTGACCTTCTGTCTCATTGGCAAGGGGAAACCGAGGTTTCCTTACACACACACACACACACACACACACACACACACACACAAAGAAATGTAAGATCCTTACCCCACCCCAGCCCCCATGATTCACCCCAGCCCCCATGATTCACGGAAGCTACTGGCTGGCAGGCTGCAAGCTGCTCTTCTAGCTCATGCTGATGTATTGAGACTCACAACAGTAATGCTGCCACCCTACAGCTAATGCTGAACAGGACAGTGCATCACCTGCATGCCTTAAGTGTGAACCTCAGCCAGCAGTAGTGGCACTCTAAGAAAAGGGACTAACGAAGCATGCTGGGGGCCCTTTCCTGATCCTCGTTTTATCCTCTTGACCTGATCTCAGATCCAGCCTGGCATCAGCAGACATTGAACCCACCCATTCCCACCTTTGAAGATGTGAAGCCAAAAACCCTCCCATTGGATAAAAGCATTAACCACCAGATGGATTCTCCAAGTGAAAGGCGGAAGTGAGTATCCAAAGAAGGCTCTTAAATAACTTAATTTAATGGTTTGACTATGAAGAAGAGGAAATGTGTGTGATGGCAAGGTGTCAGCAGCATTTTTGTGCTATATCTTCCTTTTAATCTCCTTAACAAGGTAGAAAATACTAGTGGAAGTTTCAGATAACCTTCCTATCAAGTAAATGTGCATTCTGAATTGACCAGTTTGAAAGTACCAATGTAGTCATTTTGACCTACAATGCACAACTTGGAAAAAAATTGCAGGTCTGTTATATTAATAATTTATTGCACTTAGTTAAATTTTCTCAGAGCCAACTGACATTTGCTCTTTCAAGGAGAAAAAAAGATGTTTTCCTCTCATTAATCATGTATTTCCATTAATTACATTTGAATTTTGTAATAATCATCTATTTTGGAAGTCTTTCACTATAATGGGCTCTGTATTGAAGGCTTGTTACCTCTTTTCCCTTCTTTCAGTTACATTAGCTAAATGATCAATTCCAATAACTTCTGAGGTTATTGCTCCCATTTTACAGATGAGGACATCAAGGCTCATGGAAGTTAAATAATCTACCCTAAGTACTTGTCTGATTAAATGGTAAATAAATTTAAAAATAAGCCTATAATATCAATTTTTAAATATTTAACGTCCATTGTACTTTAACATGTTGATGCCAGAGCTACAGTTTGTGTTTCTTCTCATCCGGTGGCTTCATTAATAGTGCTCCACTTTGTCCAATGGTGCTATACTGTTGTAGTATGAAATTTTAGCTATAGTAAACATTTCTGTCGATGAAAGGGATGTCCAGTTGTAAGACATTGGCAGCATGCGCTGGCATCACCTTTTAATCATTCTACCTGAAGTCTCTCAGCTGCCCGGATTCAGACTGCATCTCTGCCTCTCATCTGCATACAACTTGGTGCAGGTTTCTTAATCCTTCTCACCCGGCATAATATGGGAACATTAAGAGAAACTATTCCAAGGGTTTTGTGACTGGAAAAGAGTAAGTACTATGGATTGTAGGTGGTGTCAGTAATGACGACGATAAAGATATTAACTTGTGTTTTCAGTTTGTCTTTTCCCCATTTTTCTCAACACAGTATTTAAACTGTTTCCCCCTTCTCTCTTACATCTATTTACTTTGCTATATAAATGTCTAGATGCCACTCAGAAGCTATAGAAGGTACACTGCAGAGAAGCAGTCATTACTGTTGGTTCTTGTAGCGATTTCCAACCTGAGGGTGGAGCAGTGGCACTCTAGGACATTCCATGCAAAGGCGCAGATTTGGAGGAGATGGGCTGGCCGGGGGAGGCAGGAGAGCGGCAGGAAGATGGTCCTGGGAACATTTTGAGGGCTTCCAGCAATGCTCTGCCTGCTCCCTTGTCGGCTCTTCTCTTTCCTTTGTTCTTTCTGGTATAGTAGCCCTTTTCAAAACACATCATCATAAGCAAGAGTTCCCAGCTGACTGCTTAATCACAGGCCAGGCTTGTGTACAAGCAGCAACCTCTGTAAAGACCTCTATTAGGGGCTAGGGAAAGACTCCAAGGGCTAGATTGCACACGGCGTACAGGAGTCCATGGTTCCTCCCAGAGCACTGCTGGGTGTGGCCTACCACCAAAACCAAGCAACCAACCATTCTGGTAGCAACTGGTGGGGACTCTGTGCTTCATGAATGCCTAAAGCATAGCAGTCAGTGAGGTTTGGAACATCACCCCTTACTCGCTGCACCCTAAATATACTCATTGGTGAACAGGGAGCTGCCTCTTGGAAAACTGTTTCCCTTAAGCCCAGCTCTTTATTTCCTTAAAAAAACTAACCCCTCTGCATCCATCATGTTTCTATCTAACTCAGCATGCACTTTTTAAAAAAATTTTTATTAGTGAAACACCATGAGGTACAGTTGAAGATTTACAAATTTTTGTGCTTGGGTTTCAGTTATACAATGATAGAGTACCCATCCCTCCACCAGTGCCCATTCTCTACCACCAGTGATCCCAGTATCCCTCCCACCATCCCCCCATCCCATCCCGCCTCTGTGGCAGGGCATTCCCTTTTGTTCTCTCTCTCCTTTTGGGTGTTGTGGTTTGCAATAGAGGTATTGAGTGGCAATCATGTTCTGTCCATAGTCTACTTTCAGCATGCATCTCCCATCCTGGGTGGATCCTCCCAACACCATTTATTTCGTACTCCCTTCTCTATCTGAGCTGCCTTTTCCCCTAGCATGTGTGGCTGGCCTCCAAGCCATGGAGTGAAACTCCTGGTACTTATCTCAACTATTCTTGGGTGTTAGTCTCCTATTCTGTTACTTTATATTCCACAGATAAAAGCAATCTTTCTATGTCTGTCCCTCTCTTTCTGACTCATTTCACTTAGCATGATACTTTCCATGTAGAACCACTTGTATGTAAATTTCATGACTTCATCTTTTCTAACAGCCGCATAGTATTCCATTGTATAGATGTACCAAAGTTTCTTTAACCAGTCATCTGTTCTTGGGCGCTCAGGTTTTTTTCCAGATTCTGGCTATTGTAAACAGTGCTTCAATGAACAAACAAGTGCAGATGTCACTTTGACTATACTTTTTTGCATCTCTGGGATATATTCCCAGGAGTGGTGTTGCTGGGTCAAATGGGAGCCCAATTTTTAATTTTTTGAGAAGCGTCCAGAAGGGCTAAACCAGTCGGCATTCCCACCAGCAGTGTAGGAGGGACCCTTTCTCCCCACATCCATGCCAACACCGGTTACTTTTGTTCTTTTGGATGTGTGCCAGTCTCTGTGGTGTGAGGTGGTATCTCATAGTTGTTTTAATCTGCATCTCCCTGGTGATTAGTGATGAAGAGCATTTTTTCATGTGCCTTTTTACGGCATGCATTCTTAAGTGAACCAAGGCCCCGGCCAGAATTGAAAATGGGAAAATAAACCATTTTTCCTGTTTGGCCAAGCCAGATGGGAGATTACATCATGCAGATCAAGCATGGACAAGCTTTGCAATATGGAATTACAAGTTTTTGTCCTTTGAAAAATGACCACTGGGAATCTTGTGGTCTTTTATTCAGTTGTCAATAAGGTTTTTTTTTCTTTTCAGGTGTTTTCCTTTTTTGGCATGTGGGGGTCTAGGGGTGGGGTTTAGGCTATACCCAATGGGTGCGCAGGGATTACTCCTGGCCCTGCACACAGAAATTAATCTTGGCAGGGCTCATATGGGTACCAGGGATTGAACTTGGGTTGGGTGTGTGCCAGCCAAATGTCCTACACATTGTACTATCACTTTTTTTCTTTTTGGCAAAGTTTTGATTTTTCATTCATTTTTTTTTTTTTTTTGAGGAGACCCATAAGCAGTTCCAGGAGGTGCTGGGGCCTCTCCCGATGATTCTGTATCAGCCAAGCCAGACAAATCAGTGCTTGGACCCAGCAGTACTGGGGATCTACCTCCACCACACCCAGAGGTGGTATGAATCAGGGAAGCTAGGCAATACCAGGGCTCCAACTCAGGGCCTCACACATGCCAAACATACACACCAGCCCTTGAGCTGTCTCTCCAACCCCAGTAAGTTTCATTTATTTTCTTATGTAAAATTTCCCCCATGGGATTTGTCTCCTCTTGGTTTATCATAATGTTTTGCTTCTTTGTCATGTGACAGGAAAAGCCCTCGTGAGATCTTCCAAGACCGGCACCTCTCCCCCTACTCCCCCACCCCTCCTAACCAGTCACCAAACAGGTACCAGAGGTCAGCAAGCCTCTGTGAGGCTGCCTGGGGTGCACCAGAGCCTGCCAAGCATGATTCCAACCAAATTAGTGTTTGCAAGATAATTGGGGGGTGTAGGGGGTCCATGGGGTCCATCCAGCTCTCCTCTTCCTTCCCACCTGCCTGCAGGCCCCTGGGTCCCTGAGAGCAAAGCCCAGTCTGAAACATCCGGCACCTGTGGCCCAGGGGCTTAATGACATTGTGTGGAACCTGTAATCTAATCACCATGTCCACCAGACAGTTGCTGGCCTCCCCGTTGGCGCCCGGGCCTCCAAGACGGCTCTGCCCTTCTAGGCAGCTGTGCGAGAGGAAACCTCATCCTTCTTTGTTAGCCTCATAATGTCTCTGATGTGTCCTACTGTCTCTAATGGCTTCGGGACACTTACTGGGCTCTGTAATGTTCTTAAAAGCCACCAAGTTTGCCAGTCTATTTTTCTTCCCAATTTCTTTTGCTGAATAAGAAGTGACCCTGTCGTCTATGGCCATACCACCTTGATCCTGCTTAATCTCATCTGATCTCGGGAGCTAAGCAGGGACAGGCCTGGTTAGCACTTGGATGGAAGAAATGCCCCGGTGCGCCTGTGAACCAATTATAGAAAATTTTAACACAACATTGAAACCTTGGTAAAAACCAAACTTGATTATCCTTTGGGATATAGGCAAGCTTCTATATGAAATCAAGGCATATGATCACTTGAGTAGGCTGCAAACTTTGTGGACCAACACTCAAAGACATAAACATAAACACATACACATATGCATGTGACATGAGATTCGACACCCACAGTATAGGACTGAGTACTTGAACTCAGCCGAGGCTTGCAACTTTCTTGCTTTGATTCTGCATCATCCTAGGTGCACTCATAGCTCATAGTCATAATAAATAATGAATTCATTTGGTTTCAAATTCTTTTTAAAAATCCATTGTTTTTGTTTTTGCATGAAGCAACAAGTACATGTCTTTGCCCAATTCAACAGAACACGTAACGCTTCTATGTCTCTTTTAACCTAGGTCTATCAGTGGGAAGAAACTCTGCTCTTCCTGCGGGTTGCCTCTGGGGAAAGGAGCAGCCATGATCATCGAGACCCTCAATCTCTATTTTCACATCCAATGCTTCCGGGTACGTAGACATTGCTCCACCAAACAGGGAGACAGCTCTTGGCAAGTTTTTGTGAGGCCTCCCCCTATAGGTTGTGGAAAAGTAGGGGTGGAATTTCAACCATCTTCCAGGATAAAACTCCCCTCTTCCTCGCCCCTTGCAATGTCAAGTTAGAAGGTAAAGGAGGCCAGTGTAATGTGTCTCTGCAGGTGGTTTCTGCTGGTCAAGGTTGCAAAATATTGAGAATGCCTCATGGAAGGACAGAGAGAACTCCACATCTCTACCCAGGGTTGGCAGTAGCTGTGTGGGATGTAACCTCTTAGATGCTGAGCAAATTCTTATGATTCAGTTTTTGGCCTTATGGAGACTTTACATCAAAGAAAGAATTATGGAACTCTCACTAAAGAGGTCTGAATACCACTCGCTCTGGGAGATTTCACCCATTTGTGTATATTCTGGGTCCTTGTAGAACTTTCCATGGTCCTTATCACCACTGTATTATTTTCCTGCCCTTAACTGCTAACCAACTGTCAACTTGAAAAGCAGGACTGTGTCTGTGTGGCTCATCACTGTCTCCTCTGTAACCTAGCAGAGCAGAGGCTAGCAAATTATTTCAGATGAATGAATTCATGAACCAGCTAGAAATAAAGAAGCCTGCATTCTAGTCCAGATCTGCTGTCAATTGGTGGGTGATATCACCAATTATACCTGACTTCTTGTCAAATTTATAAACTGAATCATCTAATCCTCTATAGTTTTTTTTAACCATGGAACCATTTCTAAGAAGCATAAAAACTTAAAGCCAACCCTTAGTTCTAAACAGGGGCCATAGGTTTCTCCTCTTCACCTTCATATGCTTTCTTTTTCTCTTCTTGAATTTTGATCTACTTCTTGTTAGAAGTTTCTCCTTGTGGGGCTGGAGCTATAGTTCAGTGGGTACGGCGTTTGCATGCAGCTGACCCGGGTTAGATCCTCAGCATCCCATATGTTCCCCTGAGCACTGCCAGGAATAATTCCTGAGTGCAGAGCCAGGAGTAACCCCTGTGCATTGCCTGGTGTGACTCAAAAAAAAAAAGTTTCTCCTTGTGAGTAGTTATGAAGTAGAATTCTCCTTGTGAGTAGTTATGAAATAGACTTGCACAGATTTAAGCCAAGCTAAAATATGAGAAAGTGAGAGTGAGGATGTTTTAAAATTACTTAATAACACAGGCAATACTGGAAACCAAGAGTTATAGGCAAACACAATATGGATACTCATTTAGATTCAATTTATTCAAAAATATTGCTGTAGGGGTTGGATTAATGCCAGCTTCTTTTTAAAAAATTTATTTTCAAGGATTTTTTCACAGTAATTGATTGCATTCAATATTTTAATACCAATCCCACCACCATTACACTGTCCCACCACCACCATTATTTCAAATTTTCCCACCACCACTCAAGCCTGCCCTAAAGACAGATACTAAATAATTTACTTTGTATTGTTTGTTATGAATAACTGACTAAAAATGATCCCAAAAGTTTCCTTAGAGGAAAGTGTTTGTGAAAATTTGTTGTATCTCATCTTGGAGCCATTAAGCCCTTGTATTAGATATCCTTAACATGTTAGAGTTTGAGCCTGTGTGCTAATATGTATGTGTACGTGTGTATTTTTTCAAGATTGTTTGTCTTCTGCTTTACACCCCATCAAATGTGGTATGCTACTCTTGGTATATCAGTGGCATAATGTATGAGATGTTGCATGACTGCAAAATCAGCTGCACAATCCTAGAATTCTAAAATTTTACATAGGATGCTAAAACTATAGTTAAAAAAAATGTTTTTAACTGGACGGTGATTTGGGGATCTGGAGGCATCACTGCAGAGTGTTGTTCTCTTCCGAGACTCATTTGTGAGTCTCTTCCGAGATTCATCTCTTCCGAGAGTCTCTAGATCATGGCCGCTGGCGCTTAAATGGCACCCAGAGGCGGTTTGTGGGCATGACTCCCAGGAAACAGGAAGTGCAAGGAGATGTGAGAAGAGGCCCATTCCCGACTCTGGAAGCCTGGAGATTTCAGTCACAAGTCCTGCATACCTGGTTTTTTTTCAGTAGATTCAATCTCATACGTAGGGGGCTCAGAGAAGCCAGCTTCTTGGAGCAAGATTGAGGAGGGGGAGGCTCAGCAACAAGTTTTGTCCCTGACTCAAGCTCTCAGTCACCTGGGGCTGAGGAAGCCATCATGGCAATGATGCTATTGGCTGCATCTGCATCACAGGGGTAAGAGAAAAGTCTAAGCAGCAACAGATCTCCAGGCTAAGCAAGTCAACTACAGGAAGCAAATGCCTATAGAACAGAGGTCCAGGAGGCTAAGAAGGCAAGGGCCCTCATCCATGGGTATCTGTAAAGGATTTCTTCCAGATGGGTGATTTGGAGCTCTGATCTAAATCACTCACCAGCTCAGTCTTCTACAAGAGGCTGCTAAAGTAAGTAATTTTGTTCCCAGAAGGTGTGTATCCTGGGTACTTTAGTGTGAAGATCAAAGACAGATGCTCAATGGACTAGCAAGCACAGGCTATATATGCAAGAGGCAGGGGTCTGTCCTAAGGGCATTGACAGTGTCCCCATCATGAGTGATCCCTAGCTCAGAGCTGGAAGTAGCCTCTGCAGCCCCCCCCCCATAAACAAAACAAAAAAATTAAGTAAGATGTAAAGCGGAATACCAATTTCCTCATACTTTTGATATGGTGGATGAATCAAGCATATTAGAATACGTATAAAGATTGTTCACACACGAATTTCAGTAATTCATTGGCCGTGTTATTCTCTAATACCGCTAGGATTGAATCTGCTTACAACAGTCTTTAATTCTGATTGAGAAGAGGCTAAGAAGACAGGGTTCGAAATTAGTCTGAGGGAGAAGGACATATACCAGATCTCACACATATTTGATATTTAACAAAACAAAATAACAAAGGAATGAACAGCATCTAGTGATGACAAGTCCTTGTACTTGAACTGTAGAACTCAGGTTGTCAGTGGGGCTGTGAGGAAGGAGGAGACAGACTAGTCTTGACAAGGACACCAGTCTTGGGCACTCTGGTGCTGTTAGAGGAGTAGTAAATTTCTGTACCACAAGCATGAACATAAATACAATTGTAACCTTCTTCACTGTATCACTGTATCAATGTCATCTCTTTGTGACATTAGGATTTGTTCCTGTAATGTCTCCAGTCCTCCAGCCCTGAGATTTTAGCAACCTCTCTTTACTTGTCCTTCCTAATGGTGCTGCATTGGAGGCTCTTTCAGGGTCAGGGGAATGAGACCCATTATTGTTACTGTTTTGGGCATATCAAATACACCACGGGGAGCTTGCCAGGCTCTATTGTGCAGGCAGGATACTCTCGGTAGTTTGCCGGGTTCTCCTAGAGTGAGAACTAGACTTAAGAGCTTTGTTTTATAGTCTCTGGACCTTGGCCATTGATGGGATTATATGGTGCCGGGAGCAGTTTGTGGGTGTAACTGCCTAGTTACTGGACTAAAATTACTTGTACTAAAATTTTAGAAAATGAAAACAGTAAAAGAGATTTCATTTGAGGGTCAACCCAACACCACGTAGCAGCTTTAGAACCTTGGACAAGTCAGTTCATCTCTCTGAATCAGTGACGTGACAGTACAAGGAGTTGGAAGTAAACACTAATACTATGTTATTGCTGGATGTCAATTCTGGGCACCTGATCAGCAAATGTGCAGAATGTAGAACCAGTTGTGCTCTAACTGTGAGCTGTCACGAAGCATCAAAAAAGACTCTTTCCTTCTTTCTTTCTTTCTTTCTTTCTTTCTTTCTTTCTTTCTTTCTTCCTTTCTTCCTTTCTTCCTTCCATCCTTCCTTTCTTTCTTTTTTCTGCCTTTCCCTCTTTTTTCTCTCCTTTCTCTCTTTCTTTCCTTCTTTCTTTCTTTATTCTTTTATTTCTTTCTTGCTTGCTTTTTTATCTAATTAAAGAATGATGATTTTCAAAGTTATTAATAGTTGAGGGCTGGAGCGATAGCACAGCAGTAGGGCGTTTGCCTTGCACGCAGCCAGCCTGGCTAATCCGTGTTCGATTCCTCCACCCCTCTCTGAGAACCCGGCAAGCTACCGAGAGTATCTCAGCCGCATGGCAAAGCCTGGCAAGCTACCCGTGATGTATTCAATATGCCAAACAAGTATCACAATGGCGATGTTACTGGACCCACTCAAGCAAATCGATGAACAATGGGAGGACATTGCTACTTTAATTGATAGTTGAGTTTTAGGCATGCAATCTTTCAATGCCAATCCCACCACCAATGTCAACTTCCTTCCACTGGTGTCTGAATATTCCAGCCCCACCCCCAACTCTCACCCTATCCCTTTGCTGTTAACTTAACAGGCACATTACAAAGTTCCAGTGGTTGTAGCTTGAATCTTTTCAGTGTTGTTGAGTCTGTGTTTTGAATATGGCTCTATGACTCCCAGGAAGAATTGAAGTCCTGACCCCTGTTCACCCATTACTTCCCATCTTCTTCTTCTTCTCCCCCACCCCACCCTTATTGCTGAAAGAGACCATTTCTTACTTTCCTTATAATCTCTCCTATTTCTTTTCTACAGTGTGGAATTTGCAAAAATCAGCTGGGAGATGCAGTGAGTGGGACGGATGTTAGGATCCGAAATGGTCTTCTCAACTGTAATGATTGCTACATGCGATCCAGAAGTAAGTATGGGAGAAATACCTAGAGATGAATGAAGGCACTCAGAGATGCTTTTCATAGAAGAATGCAGTTCATTTCCACGTAGCACTCAGCATTCCTAACCTATGTGAATGATTTCTAGTATTTTGGAAAAAAGAAACGATAATGAAATCAACCCCTTCTTACAGCTTCCATCTTAAGTTACTCCTATAGTGTGGCTAAATCTAGACATGCAATAATCTACCTGTAGAAAAAAAAAAACTGGGAAACAATGAAGGCACTGCGTCTACACCATATTTGGCCAGAGAGAAACTGAAGCACTGGATAAACACCATTCATTTGCTGAATGAATGCCTATCTTAGAACACCAAAACCATTTGAGGGATTAAACATGCAGAAATATTCTCCACTGTTATCAAATCAAACACCAACTTCTCCACATATGACAGCTATCATGCCATATAGGTACTTCATAACATAAAATGTGATTTTGTTCCCAGGTGAGTTAACTTCTTTGTGAATATCTGCTTTCCTCCCAAAAACCTTAGGAATAATCAGCATTTCACACATATTTGCAGCCTAGAAGTTACCTCTCCTCTCGGCTCTTACCGTGAGAGTAATGTTAGCTTTGGAAACGCCAGGGGGTGCTGTTGTCCAGCCATTGTTTGGAAAATCTGAGCATAGCCAGTGGTTCAGCTGTGACTCCTTCCTGTCCCATTTGAAATAGTCTTTCTGCTTGGTAAACTTTCCTATGCACATTTATTAGTCAAACTTCTTTATTAACAAAAATATGGGAATGAAAGTTTGCTTGGAATTCAAGGATATTCTTTCTCAGAGTCAGTGAAGTAACATATGTAGAGTCTTTTAAATTTGGTTGTCTAAGCCTTCTAGAGTGAAGTCTTTAAGAGTAAAAGTTACAATTGAATGGTATTGTGATCCAAGAAATATATGCTTATTTAAATTTTTACAGAAGATGGGAAATAAAAGTAAACCAAGAAGAGCCAAAGAGATAGTCCATGGAATAAGGTGCTTGCTCTGCATGGAGCTGACCCCAGTTTGATCCCTAGAACCACAAACAGTTCCCTCAGTCACACCAGGAGTGGTCCCTGAGCACAGAGCCAGGAATAAATTTTGCCCCACTAAAAAAGTAATCTTTAAACTTTTTTTTTTCTTTTTGGGTCACACCCGGCAATGCACAGGGGTTGCTCCTGGCTCTGCATTCAGGAATTACCCCTGGAGGTGCTCAGGGGACCATATGGGATGCTGGGAAGCAAACCCGGGTTGGCCATGTGTAAGGCAAATGCCCTACACATTGTGCTATTACTCCAGCCCGTAAAAAAGTAATCTTTGACAGATGGCTTTGATCTACAACAAACATTTGACTTAAGACCAAGAAAATTCTGATTTAGAGAGCAGCTAGAGTCAAAATGGATTATTTCTTCATTTATTTTTTTTCTCTTTGGGTCACACCTGACGATGCACAGGGGTTACTCCTGGCTCATGCACTCAGGAATCACTCCTGGTGGTGCTTGGGGGACCATATGGATGCTGGGAATCGAAGCCGGGTGGGCCGCGTGCAAGGCAAACACCCTACCCTCAGTGCTATTGCTCCAGCCCCTTCATGTATTTTAGAGCTAGGTAAAAATCTATCTAGGTAGTATATTGACATTGATCTTTATTCTATACATTATATTAAAATATGGAAAATTAGTAAACTATATATATACATGTATCTACAAATACATAATAATATAATTATATATTAAACTGTAATTTTATTTATTTTGTTTTTACATAAAAGAAAGAAAACTAGACCCCTTTCCTATTCTATAATACCGTCTTTTTCTGCACCTTATTGAACAAACTAAATGTGAAGGATGACCCCAGCAGAGGGTGCTGTTAGTTGAAGGGCTGGTGATACAGATTTGCAAAATGGACCACTGCTGAATGTCCATCATAATTTAATGTGCTCCGAGGATGCCAACAGAGAACAAACCTGTATCCACTTCTGGGTGAAAGGAACATATTTTCATGCAGCTTTATTTTAATTAGGGAATGAGGCTGGAGCAATAGCACAGCGGTAGGGCATTTGCCTTGTACGTGGCCAGCCCAGCCGAGCCAGGTTCGATTTCTCCACCCCTCTCGGAGAGCCCGGCAAGCTACCGAGAGTATCTCACCTGCACAGCAAAGCCTGGCAAGCTACCCATGATGTATTCAATATGCCAAACACAGTAACAACATGTCTCACAATGGAGACATTACTGGGCCCGCTCGAGCAAATCGATGAACAATGGGAGGACAGTGATTACAGGGGTGATTCATTCTCTTTTTTTTTTTTTAATTAGCTTTTTAGATCTAGGCCACACAGTTTTCTCTTAAGTGTGATTCTTATTTGGGGCATAGACAGAGTTCATGACAAATAGAAAGATAAGCGTCAAAGAGTTCTTGTATCAGTCTCATAAGATTAAAAAAATAAAGTTTCAGGTAGGGAGATAATCTGGGACTCAAGGCATAGGCCTTGCTAGTGGCTCACTCTTGTTCTCTCCCCACAGCACATGTCCCCTGAGCATCACTGCCTGCTGCCCTGGAGGTCCCCCAAACACTGCTGGGGTTGCCCCCAGAATCCCCAGTACCTAAGGGCCAGAGCGGCGATGTATCCTCAGCCAGGCCCAGTCAGCTGAGAGTCGCCAGGAGGGAGCCCTGTCTTGCAGATAAACTTTCAAAATGTGATTTTTTTCCCCCCTTGTTATATTTTTTTCTTTTTGGGTCACACCCGGCAATGCACAGGGGTTTTTCCTGACTCTGCACTAAGGTATTACTCCTGGTGGTGCTCAGGGGACCATATGGGATGCTGGGAATTGAACCTGGGTTGGCCGCCTGCAAGGCAAACGCCCTACCCTCTGTGCTATCACTCCAGCCCCTCCCCCTTGTTATATTAAATTCTTCATGCAACATTTTACTAAGATTGTAGAATTATAAGAAACTAAGAAGAAAGCAATAATGCTATTCTCTCTTCCTAGAAAAACCTCCATAGACAATGAAAAGAATTAAGTCATCATTGGCATAAGTTTAGAAAAATTGGGTCGCTCAGAAAGTACAAAATTTTTTTAAGTTTAAAGTTTCCAAAGTTAGCCCTTGTAATCACTTTCTAAGATGTGTGGGGGTTTTTTTGTTTTTGTTTTGTATTGTTTTGTTTTGTTTGAGGGCCTTAATTGGCTCCTTAGCTCAGGAATCACTCCTGGCAAGACTTGGGGGATCACATGTGGTACTAGGGATGGAATCCAGGTTGGTGTCATGCAAAGCAAGTGCCTTACTTGGTGTACCATCTTCCTGGCCCCTGGGTTTGTGTGTGTGTGTGTGTGTGTGTGTGTGTGTGTGTGTGTTTAACCATGGTAATCACATAGACATGGTATTGTATACTTTCTTTTTGTTACTATTATTTTTTAACTATTTTTGGGATCCAACACAGGGCCTCATCCATGCAAGGCATTTTCAGTATGTGTATTGCAAACCATAATGCCTCAAAGGGGTGTGTGTGTGTGTGTGTGTGTGTGTGTGTGGAGAGAGAGAGAGAGAGAGAGAGAGAGAGAGAGAGAGAGAGAGAGAATGTGTGTTGTAAAGGCAGTTTGGGAGCAGAGGCAGTAGGGAAATTGAGGACATTGATGGTGGGAAATGTACACTGGTGAAGAGATGGTGTTGGAATATGACTGAAACTCAATCATGAAGAACTTTGTAACTATAAAGGAGAGGGAAAAAAAGAGTATTATAAATACACTTGAATTGGCTGAATCTACAACAGATGCAATACAAGAATCACAGTGGAAAAAATAGCTAAAAAATCATTTTTCTTTCCTTGTTTTTAATTTGATTTTGACTTCGGTGGAGAAAGGGGGAGATGGATAGCTGTGAGATGTTGTTTACATCATAGGCATTCTAAGTGAAACAAAATAATTTCATTGTGTGGAATAATAAAACCTGAATATATAATCCTATTCAAATAACTAGGCACATTTAAATGCAGTTTTTCAGTTGGAAGGCGTAAAAATAGCATGAGAGCATATTAAAATGCAATTCCTAAGAGCAATGTAAACAGTTTTAAGTTCATATGTAAATGGGATGGAAGGGCAAAACAAATTACCTGTCACAAATCAAGCCAGTTCGTGTTTAACTTGTGCCGTTTGGGGTTGGGTGTTGCATGACTGTTTTTACATCTGTTTCATCGTTCACTCTTGCAAAATGCATTTAGTGCAAAATCCCCAGGCTCCTTTTCCAATATTCCACTGGCCCCATCACACAATTCTAGTGCCTAACATGAAGGAACTTGGTGAGGAACTTGGTGAAGGTTGTCGCAGAAAATATGGGACCCAAATGATCCTTCCTAGATGGAAAATAAGAGATGTTCTAGTGGATGGGAGAGGGGATTTAATTTGAATTTCAAAGACAGTAACAATTTGTTGTTAAAGTGACATTGCTTTTTTTCTTTAATTTTTTTGCAGTTTTATTGAGGTATAAATGACAAAATTGTAAGCGATTTAAAGTGCACAAAATGACACACTGTGCTGGTCGTACATGCTTCCTCACAAAATGGTTTTTATTTTATTTATTTATTTTAATCACTGTGAAATAGAGACTTACAAAGCTGCTTATGATTAGATTTCAGTCAAGCAGTGTTCCAACACCCATCCCTCCACCCCTCCACCAGTGTATATTTCCCAGCACAAGTGTCCCCAGTTTCCCTCCCATCACCCCCAAACTCCCAGCCTGCCTCTATGGCAGGCGCCAGTCAGTCAGGCTCCTCTCTCTCTCTCTCTCTCTCTCTCTCTCTCTCTCTCTCTTGCCTTTTTGGGTCACACCCAGTGATGCTCAGAGGTCACTCCTGGCTCTGCACTCAGAAATTACGCCTGGCGGTGCTTGGGGGAACCATATGGGATGCCGAGGATCAAACCCGGGTCAGCCGCGTGCAAGGCAAACACTCTACCCGCTGTGCTATCGCTCCGGCCACCTCTCTCTCTCTCTCTCTCTCTCTCTCTCTCTCTCTCTCTCTCTCTTTCTCTGTATCTCCCCCCACCCCGCTCTTTTGGGCATTGTGGTTTGGAATACAGATACTGAAAGGTTATCGTATATATTCCTTTACCTACTTTTATCACTCAGTTCTTATCCAGCATGATCATTTCCAGCTATTATTGTCATACTGGTCTCTTCTCTATCTGTGTGGTAGGTCCACACCTCACACATTTTTGGTTAATTTCTTTTTTTTTCTTTTTTTATTAGTGAAAAACCATGAGGTACAGTTATAGGCTTACAAATTTTTTGCTTGGGTTTCAGTTATACAATGATCAAGTGCCCATCCCTCCACCAGTGCCCGTCATCCATCCCCATGGGTTAATTTTTGGTTAATTTCAACCATTTACCAGTCCTCCTTACTTCTATTTTCCTTATAGCACTGTCCTCCCGTTGGTCATTGATTTGCTCAAGCGGGCCCAGTATCATCTCCATTGTGAGACTTGTTACTGTATTTGGCATATAGAATATGTCATGGGTAGCTTGCCAGGCTTTGCTGTGCAGGCAAGATACTCTCGGTAGCTTGCCGGGCTCTCTGAGAGGGGCGGAGGAATCGAACTCGTGTCAGCCAGGCCGGCCACGTGCAAGGCACACACCCTACCTGCTGTGCTATCGCTCCAGCCTATATAATTATATATAATATATATAATATGTTATATATCTTTATAAAATATATTTATAAAATATATTTTCTAAAATATATATTTATATATGATATAAAATTTTATATGTATTTATATATACATAATGACATTGCTTTATAACAGAGATTGGCTCCAGGGTGTGCATCATTAAGAATCAACCTGAGTAGAGACTACATTAAGTTCACCACTTAAGTTCATTTTGAGGACTCTCCCCAGCCGTGTTCAAAAAGAGCCAGGGACCTCTCTGAGTGCTCCTGACCAACCAGATGTCTCAATGCAGGACTTGGGGCTTCAGTGCTACTTGGGCTCAGAGGTCTGGGAACGAGTGGGACACCCTCCAGAGCTATATCACAGGTGCTTGATGGAGAGCAGGGAGGGGCCATGCAGTGCCAGGGATTGAACTCAGAGCCTGTGTGTGCCGCTCCAACCATTGTGCTATCTCCCTGACTCCTTGAAAAGTCTTTATTTTTAAGCTAATGGTTAATCCAAATGTTGCATGCTTATGACTTATCATTAGTAGCACTGCACTGCACTGCCCTCCCTTTGTTCATCCATTTGCTTGAGCAGGCACCAGTAACGTCTCCATTGTGAGACTTGTTGTTACTGTGTTTGGCATATCAAATACATCACAGATAGCTTGCCAGGCTTTGCCATGTGGGCGAGATACTTATCATTAGTAGATGTCCATTAACAGGAAATATGTGAATGACAGACAGGAAGAAATGAAGAAGAAAAGAAAGAAAGGAAAGAAAGAAAGAAAGAAAGAAAGAAAGAAAGAGGGGGAGGAAGAAGGAAGGAAGGAAGGAAGGAAGGAGAAAGAAAAGATATTAATCTGATATTAGTTACAAAAGATATTACAAGTGTAACTGGGTGGTTCACATTTTTATTTGCTAAATCATATGACCCTCTTTCTTTGTCAGTGTTGCAATGTATTTTATTCTTAGAGACACCAAACCTAAAAGAAGATTATTTCCTTATTTTCCCAGAAGACAAAGCTGAAAATTTGATGGAAATAATTTGACTTACGGTGAAATGCAAAGGATTTCAACCAGATTTTACAGGATATAGGAATGACCTTGTTCAATTCTGGGAGGGAGGACCATAGATATAGTACAGTGGGTAGGGTACTTGCCTAGCATGCAGCAGACCTGGGTTCAATCACCAGCATCTTATATGCCCCACCCCACCCCCATCCAAGCATTGCCAGGAATAATCCTTTAGTGCAGAACCAGAAGTAACCCCTGAGCATTGTCAGGTGTGGCTCTAAAACCATTCTGGGAGGGAACTCAAGAGGTTGTGTTTCTAAGAGCACCAGGTAATGATGCTGTTGGAAGGAGGCTAAGTAGCAAGCAGGGGGAACAAGACTCCCCCCACCCTCAACCCCCCAGAGGGAAGAGGCACAGTCAGCCGCCAGTGCTTGTTTGGCGATGGAGTAACTAACATCTGAAGCTGGGAGCATTGACTCCTTTCACTAAACACTGCTCTTTTCTTTGTCACAGGTGCTGGCCAACCCACCATGTTGTGATGTGGTTTCACGTTTCCAAAACCCTCACCTGAGAGTCCCCCTGGCAATCCTTTAACAGAATCCTAAATTCAGGGTCTTCTCAACATTCATCTTTAATCTAAAAAGGCTATTCTAAAAAAAATGGTATCTGTTCTTTTATATGACAGTGTTAGTGTTTTTCCTGGTTAATTTTTAGTGTGTAATCTTTTGGCATTTCTACACAATATACAAAAGGATATTGAATTGTAATGATCTGGAACAGTTCAAAAGAAGGTTTTTAGCATGGTCGAATAGGCTTATGGTTTAAAATGTGTTATTCTCTTCTTTGGGAATTCATGAGTTAAATAATGCAATAAATCTGTTTTTGTCTGAGCATTTCTAGAAATTAAATATGTTTATGTTTACAGAATTGAGCTTCAGAAAGTGCAAGACATGCCAATTGAGACATAAGGGGTCTTCTAAGACAGGCATATACTTGTAATGCGTTTCAGAAACTACAATTCACATGATATCTCTGAGCTATAGCTTGTTTTTTCATGCAAAGTCACCAGTCTGATAATAGAGACATTTGCATTACTTATCTTTGGGGGTAGACATCTGTCCAATAAATTATTGCACCATTAGTATTACATTTTGCATACTTTGGAAGGTATATAATTCAAAGACTCTGGGTTAATCAATAAAGAGAACCCCTGCAATATTGGGCCGGCTTACACTCTGGGACATTGCTCAAGGGTAGGAAGAAGAAACCAGAGAGACCTATGTCACTCATCATTTCCAAGGTTATTATCAAAATCTTTGAGGAAGGTTAATCTTCAAAACAGTGTGGGTCAGTTGATAGCCACAAGGCCTTTGCTACTTGCTCTTCTTCCGGCTCCCGATTCAATAAGAGACTTAATGTGGAAGCTCTTGTTTGACGATAAGTCCCTCAAGCAGTGAGAGCACCACCCACCCTGGCCTGTGTGTTCTCCTGGAGGGCCTGAAGCACAAGTGTCTCAAGAAAATCATCAAGCCCATCCTAACAGAATCCAGATGACAAATGATGTCACAACTCAGCGATGTGTGATCAGCAATTGTCTGCACCTCACACAGAGTCCTGCCCACTCAAAAAAATGAGGATGCACCCTCGTTCCCCTCCAACTCTCTTCACTGTGGAGATTCTGGACCTCCTCAGGCAAACATTTAGATGGGAACTCTTGCGCTGGGTGACAGTTTCAGCTGCCCAAGAATGGAAGCAAGTTGCTTAAAAACAAACAAACAAAAAGCATCAACTTTAGCTCTCCAGTTTGTTTTCTTGAAGACTTGGGTCTGGGGAACTATTTATTCTGCCTTAAAACAATGGCAAAGAAGTGAAGATGACCTTTTGTGAATGTAGACTATGAACATTCTTCAGATAGGTTAATGTAGCCATAAAAGGAGATCAAGTAGCTGGTTTTGTTGTTTTGGTTTTTATTTTTTCTTCCTGTTATGTGAGCAATAATTTCTTTGTGTCTTCTTGAGCCTGGCTGGCAATTACTTATTGACATGCTAGTCGGTTCTCCGCATGCAGGTTCCATGTAAGTGCAGAAATTTCCTCATTGCTGGAGGGATTTTGACCCTTTCATCATTTAGATGAGCTGGTATTAGATTGAAATTCACACATCATTTCATTAAAAATTGTGCCTTAGAAAACGCACGCTGTTGCACATAGCCAGCGATGAATTACAGTTGCAGCACATGGATGAGAGAAGAAGTCACTTCCGAGTTTTCAAGACTTCTCAAGAAGCTGTATGCTGTTTCACAGGGGGGAAAGAAAATGAGAAAAAAAAAGAAAAAATAGAAAACACAACAGAAAAAACGTTTTGAAAATGTACAGATTAAGCCCAATATTTTGATTACCCACCTGCATGTTTTATTAAATATTTTGATAATGTGGATGTTTACATTTTGCATGATAGTGGCAGAGTACTTTACCATAAATGATACACAAAACATGTACAATACGATCATTCATAACTGTTTTTTATAGAAGACTTTTTACATGTGTTACCCCAGCTGTTCTGTAAGGATTATATGAATATTGCACATTCTCTCTGGCTTCACAAACCCATTTATACATATTTCTTAGTGAGACTCATTGCACTTGTACTGCAGCAAGAATTGAGTCAAGAAAAATAAAGCTTCGTTTTCCCACTACGAAATGTGCTTTTCCATAATGAACAATAGTCACCAGCACAGAATACTCTCCAACATTTTCTAAATTCTAATTGCCAACTGTTTCTATTTCTATTTGATTTATATTTCATTTGCGGTCTGTTACATGGCAGACCAGGCAGACAAGATCTTGTTTTTTCCAATGTAGCATAATGAGTATGATCTATTTCTTTTCAAATATTCTTTGAATCCCAGGAAAGAAAAAAATGTTCTGCTCTGTTGAGCTACAATGTAAATGTGTTTGCTTGAAAAACAGATGAGGCAAGTGAGTGTGATTTATGGTTCCTTAGGCAGTAGTTCAGATTTTTTTTCTTATCCTTCAAAAATCTCTAGTCCCTTCTCTTTAGAGTAAAAAAGAGAGTGAAGGAAGCTTACTTAGTGTCCACTAGCCAACTCTCATTACTTTTCCTTCTTTCTGTGTAGTTATTAATGCAACCCACATTAGAGTTATCTATAGGCAATATAAGACCTAATGAATTGAAATGATTCACCTCATTTGGAAGTCTGTCCAAAAGAAGCTATGGTCTGGGTGGGCCAATGTTCTACATCCATTATACTAACCTTCATTTTAAATATTTATTCTAAAATGCCTCTGAAAAAATATCCAAAAACTTTTAAAAAATAAATAAAAAGTTGTCTAAAATGCAACAGCTTTTATAGTCAATGTACATTTATAAATAAAATACTCAAATCAACTCTGCACTCCATTGATTCTTCTTGGGGAGGTGTGGTGGGGGGGGCTATTTCTTCCTGGCTCTGTCATGATACAGGAGACTATGTGGTGTTAGGGATATTGTTGGGGCTTTTTGTAAAATTTATTTTTTATTGATTTGGGGAGCATCACACCCAGCATGCTCAGGAGTTTCTCCTGAGCTCTGCACTCAGAAATTATTCCTGGAGGGGCATAGGAAACAATATGGGATGTCCGAGATTGAACCCAGGTCAGCTTCTTGCAAGGCAAAGACCCTACCCGCTAGACTATAGCTCCAGCCCCAGTGTTGGGATTTTGAACTGAAGTTGGCAACATGCAAGGCAAGGGCCTTACCCCCTGTACTATCAGATCCTCCATTGATTCTTCTTTTGGGAACAGTGGGGGTTAAATCTCGCCTGCACAGCAATGCCTGGCAAGCTACCTGTGACGTATTCAATATGCCAAAAACGGTAACAACAAGTTTCACAATTTGTTGTGAGACATTACTGGTGCCCACCCGAGCAGATCGATGAACAGTGGGAGGACAGTGCTACAGTGCTTAGGGAGGAGAGAATTCAAGCTCTCCCTTATAGCTTTGTTGGGCTTTAGTCAGAGGAAGGTAATGATGCTTGGTAGCTTATACATGGGGCCTTATTGAGGTCAACTGTTTAAGGCAGATCAAACTCACCTGCAGGTTTCCGCAGTCACTGAGGAATTGCCTTCCATGGCAGGGACTCTTAGAGATGAGACACCAACAAGCAGGTTATGCAGATGCCAAGAGAAATTGTCGGAAATAATCAGAAGAAGGGGAACGTGCCACACTGACTGGCGGAGAAACCAGTCAGGACCATTAAAGATTTTTTCCTTGGATGCTGCCTCAGTGTTCCTTCTCACTGCACATGGTGGTATAGTCTGCTTTCTCTGAAGGCCTTCTTGGAGGTTGAGTATCAGCCTTTATGTGCTGGTACTGTTAACTTTCTAAAATATACATGTCTCTTCTTTAGTTCCGTTGACCTCCAGTGAAAGACCTCTAGTAGCTTATCGCTTGAAAGGAGGACCAGAGGCTTAAGCTAACTGGGAAGTTGATCACAGTGTGATCATTTATGACGAACCAAATTCAAGGCAGCAAGGACCCTGCAAACCTGAAGGGATTGCTGTGAGATTCTCTGGGAGTGGAATTGCTCCCAGATCCACCCAGGCAGCTGAGAATACAAGAGTGTCACAGCCCCTTTGAGAGACCTTGGAGTTGGAGCAGAGTACAGAGTCAAAGGCATCACAAAACCTGGAGGCAGAGTGATTGTATAGCAAGTAGGGTGCTTGCCTTGTATGCAGCTGACCCAAGTTCATTCCCCAGCATCCCCTATTGTCACCCTGAGCCTCACCAGAAGTAATTCCTGAGGGCAGAGCCACCAGTAACCCCTGAGCATTGCTGGGTGTGGACCCCAAACAAACAAAACATATCAAAAAAAAAAAAACCCAGGAGAGTTATTTTCAGAGTTGTGGAAGGGTCAGGGGATGCTTGCAGAGGAAGTTACATAGGCTGGAAGGACGCCCTTAGGGTAAATACGGGATTGGGGAGGAGGGGTAGGACGTGCCAGGCCTGGCACACTAGCCCCTCTTCAGGGTAGGAGAGCACATTGGAAGGATGCCAGTGCTGAGAGGTGAGACCCAATGCTAAGTGGGCCAAGGCTACAACACTGAGTTTATCAAGGCATAAAGCTGTTTATTACTATCACTGTATCACTGTCATCCCGTTGTTCATCAATTTACTAGAGCAGGTACCAGTAATGTGTCTATTCGTCCCAGCACTGAGGGGTTTTTTTGTTTGTTTGTTTTTTGTTTTTTGCCTTTTAAGTCACACCTGACAATGCACAGGGGTTACTCCTGGCTCTGCACTCAGGAATTACCCCTGGCAGTGCTCAGGGGGCCATATGGGATTCTGTGAATCAAACCTGGATCGGCCGCGTGCAAGGCAAACATCCTACCCGCTGTGCTATCACTCTAGCCCTGAGATTTTAGCAGCCTCTCCTCACTTGTCTTTTCCAATGATTGGAGGCTCTTTCAGGGTCAGGGGAATGAGACCCGTTATAGTTACTGTTTTGGGCATATCAAATATGACACGGGTAGCTTGCCAGGCTCTGCCCGTGCAGGCAGGATATTCTGGGCAGCTTGCCGGGCACTCCAAGATATATATATATATATATATATATATATATATATATATATATATTTCTCTATGAGCTGTTGCCTACTATCTGAACCCCATCAAACATGGTGTGGTAATTATGGAAAACGGGTAGGAAGTATCTTAGGATGTGTCCAGAAAGTGGCCTGGAGCGTGGCGGCTGTTGGGTAATGGAGGTCGGCTGCTAGGGTTGGGTTCCTTGGGTTGGGGATGGCTCTCGTCCGCTCCCATCTGGGGCTCCTCGAGTGAAAAACAGCCTAGCGCAGAGTTTATTACTATAGCAATGACAATAAACATTTTATTTCAGGTTGACCTGAATAATTTATCATGGAGTTGTGAAAGACACAAAATCTATTGGGGATGAGGGAAAGAGAATAGATTGGGCCACATCCAATGGTGCTCAGGCTTACTCCTGGCTCTGCTCCGGAATCTCCTGACAGGGCTTGAGGGATGGTAAGCAATGCTGGGGATTTGAGCTAGGGTGAGCTATAGGCAAAGCAAATGCCATAAGCTCCATACTATCTCTTCAGTCCAAAATGCAAACTGATTTCATGAACGAAAATATATCTGTATCTTGTCCCCAGTTCGTAGGTGGAGGCATAGAGCAAGCTTCCTGAAAGTTTCTATGGCTTCAAGATGCAATCTTCTCATTTCCATCACAAGTTGCTTTCTGGTTTTTATTTTGTTTTGCTTTAATTTTTGTAGCCTCCTGAGCCTCCACCCCAGACATATAAGCATGTGCTCCATCACTGAGTTTCATCCCCAGAACCTGACAACTTATGTAGCAATTGCTGCTCTTTGCATAGAATAGGGAGTTCTTGTCTTCAGTGTATATGTTTTGTTACTTAAATGATCTATTCAACTAGGAAGCATTTTGTAACAAAAGTTATTCTAACATGCAGTTTATAAAATCTTTATTGGGCGGGAGCCATAGCACAATGGGTTGGGCATTTGTCTGGCATGTAGCCAACCCCAGTTTGATCCCCAGCATCCTACATGGTGCCCTGAACATGACCAGGAGTAATTCCTCAGTGCAGATCCGGAAGTAATCCCTGAGCATAGCTGAGTGTGACCCAAAGAGCCAAAAAAGAAAAACACAAACAAGTGAACTAGCTTTCTTTGTATTTGTTCAAGACCTAAGGACTCCTCTTTCAATGGTCCTAATCTAGACCACAAGATAATGCCCATCTTTTTGGCATTATCTAAATCAAGGGATGCAAACTCACCTGACTCTAAGGACTTTATAAATGAGGAATAGGAACCAGAAAAGAGAAAGTGGTGTGTCCTATGGAGAAGTGGTGAACTGTTCCATCTACAGAAGGAGGCAGCTACTTGCTCCAACTGTTTTTAGAGGAAATCTTTTTTTGAATGTTGAGATATTTTTAATGTAAAATTTTTAAATGTTGGCAACAATTTCAAATATTTTCCAACATAGCACCAAGCCCAATTTCCTTTGCAGGCCTTGAGTTTGCTGCTTACAGCTAAATTCTCTCTTTGTTCTACCAGCTACTATTAACTGGCTCTACTGTGAGTCATTTTATTTGACAAACATACCATAATATGGCCATGCAAAATGTTTGCTTTGCAGAGTGCCATGGATCATGTCGAGAAAGAAGCTGATGGAACCATTAATCAGCAAGCGGTATTGCTCAAATTCATAACACTTTTGCATAGATTACTCGTGAGCTATAGATTATCAAAGATGACTCTTTTATGAGCACCCATATTCATTGTTTTTGCCAAGTCAGGCTCTCTGTCTTTGATTGTTCTTGCTTCTGAATGACTCAGAAGAACAGAAAAACCTGCCAATAAACAAAGAATTTTCCTAAATCCCTTTAACATCATTTGATCAAATGCACTTTTGCAAGCATTGTCTTAGTTATCAAATATTTTTGTCATCTAAGAAGAATAGTTGCATGCCTTCCCATTTTGTTGATGAGAAATGGAGGTTGAAGAGGCACAAGTGACTTATTCTGGTGGCCTGTAAGGTTTTACATAATTGTGTATCTCACTGACTGTTCCCAGTCAAGGGTGATAAGGTTAACTTCCTGTTCAGTTGAGTCTGCCTTCTCAGGGACATCAAATAAAAACAAGGAAGAAAGCCTTGATCATAACTGGACTTAGGCAGGATGTAAATTGCACCCAAAGACTTGGAACTCTCTCTTTACAGTAAATTCACATTTATAAGTTAAAAAACAACAACAACAAAGGAACTTGGTATTTCATTTTCACCTCTGGGATTTGATTTCTTACACTGAGAAGAGAGAACAGAACTGTCCCTTGTCACAAGATTGTGGGCACTTAATAGTCACTGTTTGGGAAGCCGAGAAGACACTCTGAAGGCCAATGACATCCCCACCTTGACCCCCTCTGATGTCTTCCCACTCACACCATCCTTCCTCCTTGTGTGGTCTCCGGAGTGAGGAAAAACTAGCCCTGCCCAAGAACTAAAAACTTCAGTCTGATTTCTGCTCCACAGCTGGACTTCTACTTTCTCTAACAGTCAACAATTGGGCAAGAGTAGGTCTCTTTCTTTCAATGCCTGTGGCTAGAGGGGTTTCCCCAGTGGTACTTGGGGAGGTCAGGGGTTATCCACTGCATTATCTCTGCAGGGCCAATGACCTTCAGAGTCACACTGGCAGTGCTCAGAGGCCACTGGTGCTGGCACTGGGGCTGGGGACATGTTCTTGAGATCAACCATGTTATCTACCCAACCCAAGGAATGGTTTCTTTCTAATTACTCTGATGGGGAAAAGAAACTGAGGGTATCCAATATTTATTCATCTATCATAGTATTTTGCCATGAACAGATTAAGTGATTTATGA